TGAAAAGTTGAATAAATTAAAACCTGAAATGATCCAAAGGTTCACATTTCAATTGACACATGAAAAAAAAATAATGGAGTGAAAAGTTAAAGGGTTCTATGTCTAATAAAAGCGATATACAGGAGATGTTGTGATTAAAAATGAAAAAAAATGATGTAGTAATAAACCGGTTTTAACTGTAGCATTAACTGTAGCTCTTTTTTTTCTCACCATGAATCCTTACAAAGTTGTTTTTTTTTGCTTTGTATAATGATTCTAAATCATTCTCCCCCCTCCTAATACAGTAGATGACAATGACGTTTGGTCTAAAATCGTCGACAATTTAACAATTATAAGCTCAATATAAACTAAAAATTTAAGTGAATAATATTTACGTGAAATATTTGGAAAAATTAAGTGAAATTATAAGTTAACAATAAGTGAAATACAAGTTAACCATAATTAAAATAAGTGAACATTAAGTGAAATAAGTGAAAATTAAGTGAAATATAAAGTGAAATGAGTGAAAATTAAGTGAAATATAAAGTGAAATGAGTAAAAATTAAGTGAAATAAGTGAAGGAAGTGAAATTTTTACCTTTAGTATGGGCGGTGGCGATGATGGTCGTGGTCCCGAGGGACGTTGGTACCGTATCTAGGGACATACGGTCCCATCGCTTCCCATTTGCTGCTGCAGCGTGGGCACGTTCGGGTGGTGTGCCCATGGCTTCCACACATTTAGCAGAACCTCCGCCTGGTTTGTGCGTAATTGCTGAAATTGTGCCCCTCCTGATGACAGTTCCAGCACACACGTTGCGGAGTGGGTGGTGCACCTGGCGCAGGGTACGAAGACGTTCCAGGTGCTTCGTCTTCGGAACTGTCATCGACCCAACGAACGAAGCAGGTCGGCTCCTCTGGATGGCTGCGACTCGTTCCAGGTGTGGGTTTGAGTCTGCAGTCGCGACTCCTGCTTCGGCGGCTCGGCCTCCTATAGCGTCGCTCGTGGTGGTAACTCTCTTCCAAGTGACTGGACCACTACTGGGGTTCCTCTGGCCGGACTTTTGGCTTCGGGAAGGGTCCGAAGGGATCCACCGTTTCCGGTGTATCCTCCGAAGGTGAGGATACTGGGTCCAGCTCCATCAAGGCCGGGGGCTCTGCAGTTGCTGCCGGCGATGTTGGTGCTGGCGATGGTGGTGTTGTTGGTGCTGGAGTCAGGGGAGTCGTTTGTGTTGACCGCTCAACGACAACGAACTCCGTCTGTACGTCCTGGTCCACCATCGTCGGCTCTTCCAGTGGCCACTCCTGAATCTTTGTGGGTAGGACCGAGCGTTCCGCGAGGTCGGTCCTCCATCGAATTGGGCACTCCTCGTTGTCCCGATGGCTATAGCGAGCCACCATTTCCTGGATCACACTGAAGAGGCCAGGACGATACTGCTCCAACCAGACCAACGAAGGAATGAACGGCCGGATCGGGTCCCAGAATGGGTCCTCCTCCAGCCTCACCTCAACTTCCTCCGGTGGTCCAGGAATCCCTCCAGGCCCGTTCTGTTCTGGTGGTGGCGGGTTTCACGGTGGAGATGTGGGGATACGCGGATCCTCCAACTCCACTGTCTCGTCGTCGGACTCGGCTGGTGACGGTGCTCGAGGTACCTCCTCGATGTCCATGTCCCCGTTTACAACTTCCGGCCAGTCAATTATCTGAATACTTGAGAAGCTTGAGCTGGTAGAGGGGCTGGGACTGGCGGGGACTTGGACTTCCTCATCAGGATCTGCCAGTAGGAGGTCCTCTCATTCCTCCACGTCGTGCCACTCCTCGTCCGATTCGGAAATGTTGAGGACTTCGATGTTGGAGTCCTCCTGCTTAAACATGTTAGGCCAATAGTACTGGAGAGCGGTTCGTCGGTGTGTCTTGTCAACTCCAAGATGTCCGGACTGTGGTGTTGAATGGTTTTCTTGTAACACACGTAGACGAGATTCTCGGCACAGCACTAATTTCCAGGCATTTAAATCTGTGACTTCTGTTTCTGGAAAGTTTTCTGGTTTGTGATAATAAAGTCGATTGTTCTCGATTCGCCAATTCGGAAATTTGTCAGGATAATTTTCTACTTCTCGGAAACGTCTAAGATACCAGCGGTCCTCGATTACATCAATTTGGTTGATGTGTTCAATAGCATGTTCAGGTATACGTGACAGAGCATCTGGAACATGGTGGAGCGCACCCTTTCGATGGATAATTGTGAAATTATATTCAAGGAGCTCTAAACTCCATCTCGCGAGTCTGTCTGTAATGTAAATGGTAAACTGAAGTCTGGACATGCTAATGTCGGAGCGGTAGTCAATTGTATCTTCAAAGTTTCGAAGGATTTTACTTGAGCTTCATTCCACTCCCAAGATTGGTTTTTCTTGACCAGTTTGTAAAGCGGCGCAGCCAATTATATATGTAATCCTTTTTATAATTATTATTCTATTTTTCTGTTTACACACGGAGAAAAATGGTGCGCTGAGATTATAGTAAAAATATCCTATGGAATAGTAATAATTATACTTTTCTAGTAAAAATTACTATTAATTGTAAAATTTACTAAGCATGAGTAAATATTACTATTTCTGGTAGTAAAAATTACTGATAGTAATTATTACAATAGTGTTTTTAAAAATTGCTACAGGTGTAATAAAAATTGCTTTAGGATTTCTAAATTTTATAACGCGCCATAGTAAATTTTATTAAATTTTGTATTACTTTTTACATTCGACACTTTTTAAATATTACTCGTAGAGATTCTAATAAGTAATACTGCGAAATATAAAAATTGCTACTGCAAGTAACAACTTTTACTATTGCAGATCAAACTTTTGACTATTAAAATAGTAATCCTTACCACAACTACTATACACCTGTGTGTGTGTGACGACGTCACTACGGTCATGCGCAGCGTTCGTAGCCCGGCGTCAAAGTATGCAATTCATGTATAACGAATAAATACTTAATTTCTAATTAATTATTCATTAATTAATAAAAAAAATATTATAACAATTATTATGGATATAATAATAAAATAAATTAAAAAATATAAAGAAATAAACTCATTAAGATTATATAGTAATTATAATTATTATTTACTTCAAAGTTTTTAATTATTATAATGTGCAATTCCAGCTTTATATAAAATTATTAAAAAATTAATTTACGTAATTCTTATTTATTTTATATAAAATCAGAATAAGTAACAAAATAAGTAATTTTAATTTTATTAATTAAATTTTTTATTAATGTTATTTTATTAATATTATTAAAAATGTTTATATTTTAATTCAATAACTTATCTAATAAATAAATACAATTTAAAATTGACATTATTAAAGAAGGATATGTGCGGGTAAACAAAAAATTTTCCTATAGCGATTGCGTGGCCGAGAGGCTTAATGTAATAGCTTGCGATGTTAGGTTGCGTTTAGATATAAGTAAGGCAGGGTTCGAATCTGTATAAATGTAAGATTTTTCGATATGTTTCGTTGTTAAATTATAAGTATGAACATGTAAAAAGAGTTAAACTTGTGAATTAATGAATATAATACACATATAGAATGTTTATTATTTGGAGAAAAATTTTTTGAACCCATTGATTATTTTATTTTAATTTATTAAAATAAAACAAGAAAATATATATAGTTCTTTTTATAAACGTTTTTAGTGACAAACGCGCAGGCGCGCAGCTGAACATGCGTCGGCATTCCCACCACCCGTCGGTATGAGGCGCGCCGTTGTAGTGGTACGGATTACTACTTTTAATAGTAAAAATCCATACGAAATAGTAATAATAATTGCTCCGCTTCATAATAAAATTTGCTTCGTTACTATAGTATTAATTGCTCGGGACATTTTAAATATTACTCAGCTTTTAATAAAAGTTATTATTTCTTCATCAGTTCCCAAATTACTATTTGAAAGTAGTATAATTTTTAATAGAAAATGTTACAATTATTACTCTTCTTTTTCTCCGTGCAATAAATTTACAAGTGTTACTTAAATTTTTAAATGTATGATATACGATTCAATTTATTGAATAGTCTATTCATGAAAAATATTGAACAATTCTCTAGAAATTTACTGAAGTAACAATAAGAGGAATATTTATAATTAACTATTTTGCATTTAAATAAAGAAAATATTTTTATAAATGTAACGATGATAATGAAATTACAGCTTTCTACCATTTAAGTGCATATGACGGGTGATTTTTAGTATTTACCTTGTATTTATTCCAATGCACTAAAAATTCACAATTTATAGATTCACCTGCTTGTTCTGACCAAATGCCCAGCCTATCATCATGAAAAAAACGAAGACAATCTTGAAGGTGTTCCGAAATCACGTAAATTTTTAGTATAGCTAGTATAACTTTTTAGTATAACTTCATTATGTTTTGATCTAAATCTTTTCTAGCTTGTCTTGCTGACAAACAACTGGAGACGTCTTTATGCATCACTTTAAATGCGTTTATGTAAGGCAGCAAGCGAAGCCGACCAACGTTGGTCCAATAACACTGAAAATTCACGTGATTTCGGAACACCTTCAGGGTTGCCTTTGTTTTCTTCATGGGGGATTTGTCAGAACAAACAGGTGAATCCATACATCGTGAATTTTTAGTCATATGCACTTAAATTGAAGAAAACTGTAGTTTCATTCTCATTATTACATTTATAAAAGTATTTTCTTTATTTAAATGCAAAATAATTATTTATAAATATTTCTCTTATTGTTACTTCAATAAATTTCTAGAGACTTGTTCAATATTTTTCATGAATAGACCATACAATAAATTGAATGGTATGTCATACATTTAAAAATTCAAATAATACTTGTAAATTTATTGTAAACTGAAAAATAGAATAATAATTATAAAAAGGATTATATATATTGTGACGTGGCATTTTGCCACACACAATAATTAATATTATTTAATTATTACCCATCAAAATGGGAATCTTCCTTTTTCCTAAAAATAAATAAAATATAAAATTAGACAAAAAATATAATTATTTGAATGTATTAATAAAATTAAAATAAAATAATAGATTAAACCTGCCAACTCGTCGAATCACTCTCGTATAATTTTGATTAATAAAATTTAGTATACTCGCGTCCAAATTTTTTTATGTTATCACGAGGTATTCTCGACATCCATTCCTGGTCGCTCATCCTTATGAAGTCAGCAGGGGAAGTACTTCCTGGTGCATATATTTGGATGAGATTCCTGAATATTCAAGAGCACCAGGAAGTCGAAAGAATATTATTTGTTTTGATCCTGTCAATAATGGGGGCAACCATTTTGGATTAGAGGACACCACTACGCCCTCTGGTCGAGTTGCGATCTACTTTACCAGCAACATCGATGAAATTTATCGACGCGCGATATATTGATTATCGACACATAGAAAGTAATTAATTACTTTCACTGGGACTCACCACCGAAAAGAAAGCGTGAAAGGTGACGCCGACTGAAGTCAAAGTTCAGCCATTTAATTTATTCATTCTCGTTTTGATGGTGATTCAGGCAGCAGGCCACAGAATTTTGTGCAAAGTAGAAATTAATTTTAAAAAATCCATGTCTGGACGAGGCGGTATACGGGGTCGGCGTCGTATTAGCGGTGAGTCCCAGTAATCTAAAAATTTCATTTCTCGCCAGATTGGCAAAATATAAAAGAAAATAATTAGTAAAAATAAAATGATGTTTGCTTCTCCGCATGGTAGGCGGAATAATTTTGTAAATTCGGCCTTAGGCCGAATACTTTAATTAAATTTTCAATTGTTTTGTTTGCAGAAAAGTGATAAGTTAATATTAATAGAGAAAAGATTAAATGTGAAATTAATAAATTATAGTCAATGTAAAATCAGTGAAGTGATTAATGTGTTTTTCTCCTTACCTCCCCCTCTCCGCGGTTTGCTAGGAAACTTTTCTAGCATTTTCTGAACTAGTCCGGTAAAAATTTAAAATAAATCAATATTTAATTTTTGTATATTTTTTTATATAAAATATTCTGGCGCTAAAAAATTATCCCTTTATAAAATAAAAATAACTTAAAAATATATTAACCTCAAAGTGTAGATAACATTTTTTTCTAAATAATTTTTAATTATAAATAATTAAAATTATAATAATAATTATTAATAAATTAATAATAAATAAAAATAGGCAAAATGTTATAAATGGCACTCCAACAATAGGGCCCGAGAAAAATACATTAATTTTAAAGCAAACATCATTTTCAAAAATAAGTGAAATAAAATATTGAAGTTTTGTGGTGAGAACTCGTGTTATATTACGCACGACCATATAGTACAATAAATACATGATAATAATCATTTCAATGAGTCAAGGTCGCACACATAAAGAAACACTATTTCTCACAACATCAAGGTTTATTACCATTATCGAGAATCAAAATTATAAAAGTAAATTCGGTGAAAAATAAAATTGATTTTTTTTGAATAAAAATCAGTTTCATTTATTATAAATAATTTAAAGAAGGATTTGGCTGAGTCATCGCCGCCTTCTATTGAATTGAAGTTATTGAAGGAAAATAATTGAATTGTGTATTCAGTTCTTAATTGCGAAAAAAAAAATATATATATTTCAATTGTCTCTTCTCAAATTTTTTTTTTAGCAAGTGATGAAAAAATAAATAAAATTTTTTTTTATAATTAAATCAGGAGAGGATATTCTCCCTGATAGATACTAAATAGTAATTTCTCAAATAACAAAATTATTTTTTTTTAATTGTTTCAAAATTAATAATAATTAACTTAATTATTTCCTGTCATTATTCCTCCAATGGACATTGAACCGTGATTATTTTTTTTTTTGTACAAAATCTTTTTTTTTTTGACTATATTGTGGACAACAATTTTTCATTTTTTTTTATACAACAAAATTTTTTTTTGTAATTGAGGACTGATAGTGTACTTGTTTATTTTGTTTGGTTGACCTTACTCTGACAGTTCGCTATTTTTCCATTGATCCGGTTCCTAGTTAAATAAAAGAAAAAGTCCAAAATAAAATTTAAAAAATGTCGGAAATTGGAAATTGGTTTGAAAACCCTTTTGTGGATTGGCCTTTGCCAAATCTAAAAATTCACTTGGCTTCGCACAAGGTTAATACTGTCGGGTCACTAGAGGTCCTTCGCGATCGGGCCTATCGCTTTCTTAAATTTTCACAAGGAGATAGACAAATAAAATGGACCCCAACGGATGAATTGCAAATCGCATCATACGTATCTGATGTAGAATCAGTGGTAGATTCACGCGAAGAAAACCCTCCTTCACTGGGAAAAATATCGAATACTCCCACATCAGAAATTTCAATACCTTTTTCGAGTACAGTATACTGTACTCAAAATTCGAATATCCCTGCTATCACAACTAGTAGTTCGACTTATTCATTTGTAACAGTGGGAAATACATTAGCGAATACGGTCTATTATCCTAGAATGAGTTATACAAATGAGTTTAATAATAATTCGGGTCGTTGTACTCCCTTAAGTGAAAAATTTGAAACTCATAAACCAGGTAAAATGTCAGTAACCATTCAAAAGTCAAATCAGGAATTCTCATTACCCGCTTACTATGAGAATTTGTCAATTCAAGCTAGTAAGCCTTTAATAGATTTCGATAAAGAAATTTTCGGTCATAATTCTTATGGTTTCGAGTCAACAGAGCAAAATGATTGTCTATTGACACCTAATAGACCGAAACTTGAAAAAACGGCAGATAGAAAAATTAATGAGACTAGATCAGCATTTAAACCAATAAATAACGATAGTTATAATCGGATAGATACTAGGCAAGACTGTCTTAACCCGAAAACTAAAGAAATTCGGAAAAATTATCCTAATAATAAATTATTTTCGGAAAAACATAAATTCAGTCAACCGTCGGTTAATTCGAGAAAACCATTAGATACAATAGTTCGAAAATGGGGTATTAAATTTTTTGGCGACAAAACCTCGAGCGTTGAGGATTTCTTATTACGAGTAGAGGATGCCATGGAAATCTCATCACTTCCGGGTGAAGATGTTCTTCGTGCAGCACCGTTGCTCTTAGATGGAATTGCGCTTCAGTGGTTTAGGTTAAATAAAAATAATTGGTCCTCATGGGACCAATTCAAAGGGGCGTGTCGAGCTAATTTCGGGGATAAAAATTATCAGTGGAGACTTGAAGAACAAGTCCTAAATCGAGTGCAAGGTCCGGATGAGTCCACTACAAATTATATCATTAGTATGCAAGGACTCTATTCTAAATTCACTCGGCCTGTCTCGTTAATTGAAGCATTAGATAGAATATATTTTAATCTCCGCCCTGAAATGAAACGTTCAATAAGTAGACGCGAATTTAATACCGTAAATGAATTATCTGTTATAGCTGCCGAAGTTGAGCGCATGTTAGAGTCGCTTAAAATCGAAAGAACTCCGGTGAAGCCGGAAAATTCATTTTTTCCAGAATTCGCTTATTCGGGAAATTTTGAATCTAAATCAACTTCAGTTTCGGAGAATAAAGAATCGGTAGTAGTAATGGAAAGAATGACTAAAGTTTTAGATATTTTAGTTAATAAATTAAACTCAAGTTCCGCGAATAAAAAAGAAGCGAAAGTTTCAGATAATACAAAAAATGCGGATGTTAAGAAAGAAAATAGCGAGAAGCCTTTTGCCAATAAATCAAATTCAAATAAATCACAAAGTAAACAGTCTTCGCAGGTAAAGAAAAAGTTCCGTGAACCTAAGCCTGAGCCTCCTTGCTTTAATTGTGGTAAGGATGATCATGCGTGGAGGAAATGCCCAGTAGTGTGGGAAAGATTCTGCCACATATGCGGAGAAAAAGGCGCTACGAAGTATAAATGTGAATCGGCTTATTGTAAGGAAAACTAAAGAAGGAGATCAACCTTAGGGTCGATGATCCTCCTAATTTAGTTTTACAGACCCTTGCTAACAAAATAAAAGATCAATCGGATAAAACTAAAATAACCGCGATTAACGAGGCTCGTGAAAATTACATAGTAGAATCTAGTTCGAAGTTAGAAAATCTAGTTGATAAAAATTTGGATAACAAATTAACGAACCTGATTAGTGCATCGATCATTACGGATCATAAATCGAATAAAGTTTTTGAACAACCTATTAATTGTAAAATTGAATCGGTTGATACTATTCCGCATAATATTAATACTCCCGACTTAGCTTGTCATAGCGGACAAGAGGGAAATGAAATTAATAAATTAGGCGGTGACGGTACCCATTCAAGACCTTATATTAATATTATGATAGGGAATTCAGAAATTAAAGCACTAATAGATACGGGTTCAAGTAGAACATATTTAGGTTCGATAGGAGAATCTATAATTAATTCGAATAATTATAAAATTCGTAATAATAAACAAAGCAGCGTTTTATTAGCCAACGGTGCTATAGAGCCAATTATTGGTGAAAGTAGATTACCAATAAGTTTCGCGGAGTTAACAAATGAAATTAACGTCCGAATCGTTCCAAAACTAACGGAATCATGCATATTAGGTATGGATTTTTTGCGAACATTTGGAATAATAATTGATATTAATGATCAAAAATTGTGGGCATCAGATAAACCGATTGTCAGGGTAGATTTTAGTCAAGTCGATTCGAATAATGAGGAATTATGTGCAGGATTAGTTGAGTTAACAAATGAAGAAAGAAAACATCTCGAAAAACTTCTAAAAAACATTATTCCTCCGTTTCCAGAAAAACTACCTCCTGCTAAACTTGTAGAGCATGTAATAAATACCGGTGACAGTGCCCCAATTCGTCAGAAAAATTATCGAATGTCGCCTAAGGTATGCGAAGAGTTCATTAAATTAGTTAAAGAACTCATAAAAATAGGAGTTTTAGAAGCATCAAATAGTGATTGGTGTAATGCGGTCGTAATGGCTCGTAAGCCGGATGGTACCTACCGCCTCTGTATTGATTTCAGGAAAGTTAACGCGGTAACAGTTAAAGACTCATATGCGTTACCTTTCATGGCGGAAATTTTGGATAAACTTAGCTCAGCTAAATATATTTCCAAATTAGATTTGAAATTAGGATACCATCAAATACCGTTGAGCGAAGAGAGTAAAGCAAAAACTGCTTTCTTCGTTCCAGGATTAGGCCTAATGCAGTATAAAAGAATGCCTTTTGGTCTCTGTGGTGCACCAGCCACTTTCCAAAGGCTAATTGATAAAATAATAACTCCTGATATGAAACCTTTTGTATTCGCATACTTAGATGACTTGATAATAGCTACTGAAACATATGAGGAACATCTTATATGGCTCGAACGAGTTATAAATAAATTATCAGAATCAGGCCTTACGCTTAATCCAGATAAATGTAACTTTTGTGTGCCTGAGGCAAAATACTTAGGATTTGTAGTAAATCATAAAGGCTTATCAGTCGATAATGAAAAGGTTCGTCCCATATTAGATTATCCTCGACCGAAAACGTTACGTCAACTTCGTCGGTTCATTGGAATTACCTCGTAGTATAGGAGATTCATTAAAAATTACGCACAAATTTGTGAGCCGTTAACACGTTTAACGAAGAAGAATCAACCGTTTAAATGGACAGACGAGCAAGAGGTCGCGTTTAATGAATTAAAAAAGATCTTAGCTTCTCCCCCTATTATGGGATATCCGGATTTTAAAATCCCTTTTTGCATTCAGACAGATGCTAGTAATTTCGGGATAGGAGCTGTAGTCACTCAAATTCAAGATGGCCAAGAGCGGGTAATCGCTTATGCCAGTCGCATTCTTTCTGATGCGGAGCGTAATTACTCTACAACTGAAAAAGAATGCCTGGCAGTCATCTGGGCAATTAAAAAATTCCGATTCTATTTGGAAGGTTATCACTTTACAGTGATAACCGACCATAGTAGTCTAAGATGGTTAAAAAATCTTAAAAATCCGACCGGAAGATTGGCCCGTTGGTCACTCGAGTTATTAGAGTATGACTTTGAGATATTTCATAGGAAAGGATCGATGCATGATATCCCCGACGCGCTTTCCCGAATGTACGAGGATTCGGAAGAAAATAAAGTCACGGCTATTGAAGCTATTGACGATGAATGGTATAATAGGCGTCGCGAATCGGTAATTAATGAACCTCAGAAATATCACGGGTGGAAAGTAATAAATGATAGGTTATATCGTTACCGAAATAATCCTCTGCTCGAAGACCTCATGGATGACCTTAATGCATGGAAGTTGGTAGTTCCGAAGGAAGACCAACTTTTGATTATGCGGGAGGCACATGAAAATCCTCAGGCAGGGCATTTAGGTGGTCAAAAGACCTATGATAGACTTGCGATAAGATATTTCTGGCCGGGTATGTTCAAAGATGTAGAAAAATTCGTGCGTACTTGCATCACTTGCCAATTAAATAAAACGGAACAATCAAAACCGCGTGGTATAATGGGACAAAGAATAGTACAAGAACCCTGGAGTGTTGTAGCGACTGATATAATGGGTCCGTTCCCCAAGAGTACACGAGGTTTCGAATATTTAATTGTTTTTCAAGACCTATTCACGAAGTGGATAGAAGTAGCACCGCTTCGTACAGCAAATGCTACCACGGTAATAAATTCATTTCGTGAACTGGTAATAAATCGCTGGGGTACACCGCAAGTATTGCATTCGGACAGTGGTACCGAATATCATAATAATGCTATTAAAAGCCTAACTATGGCTTATCAAATACATCATTCATTTAATCCCTTATACCACCCACAGGCGAACCCTGTAGAGAGAACCAATAGGGTTCTCAAAACAATGATACGGTCATTTATCGGCGAAAATCATAGGAACTGGGATATTTTTGTTGGTGATTTTCGTTTCGCGTACAACACGGCGCTGCATAGTACTAATCGCGTAACGCCGGCGTTTCTAAACCTTGGCCGAGAGCCAGTCCCTGTGCGGTCTATGCGTCGTCTTGTGGAGGGGGAAAACGAGTTGCCAGTCGCTGATGTCGCAGAATGGACAACTCGTATGACCAGACTTAATGACTTAAGAGAGAAAATCTGTCAAAATCAGGATCAGGCATTCCTTAAACAAGCGAAATACTATAATCGTAGGCGTCGGGATCTACAGTTCAAAATAGGCGATCTAGTCAAGAAACCTCTACACGTGTTATCTCGGGGGCAGGATAGGTTTGCTAGTAAATTAGCTCCAGCTTTTCATGGTCCGTTTATGATAGTAAAAGTAGTCTCGCCAAATGTATATGAATTGTCCTCGACAGAAGGCAGGTTAGCTGGAAGGTATCATGTTTCCCATCTTCAGCCCTATTATGTGCTTGAGGAAGACATGGAATCGTCTGATTCGGAAGAGGGGCGAATATTGGATCGGGAACTAAACGAAATAATTTGGTCTGACCCTGAACCGGAAATAGAGAATACTGATCAGGAAAATGATCTAGAAGTAGGAAGAGGTCCTGATAGTTCAGGCGAACCCCATCGGCGCAGAAAATTGCGCAATCGTTCATTTTCGTATTAAGTGAAATGAAATTGGCGACCTGTCAGAGGGGTCCATGAGTTAATTCCAGAGAGGATTATAAAATAAATAAAAATGTAAGATGGAGAGAGTTATCAAAAATTTGACCTTCTAAAACCAAATCTTTGTTGAAATTAGAAAAACTCATAAAAAGATTCTGTAAATAATTTTGTAAATAAAAATATATAAATCTTTAACTAAATAACCGTTAATCATCTTAAAAAGACCACTTTTGACCGTTATTTATCTTAATACAATAGAATTGGGAAAACTAGGTCATATTTTTGCTCTACATTACATTGAGATTTTAATCCAGTTAGATTTTGTATAGATGCTGCATGGACCAACTAATTTAATTGGTCCATGACCGCTAATAAATATTAAAATGATTAGATGAAATTGTTTTGACATAAATTGAGAATATTAAGTTAACCTCTCTGGATGACTCATGGTAGTTCCATAGTTATAGATGATAAGTGATAATTTGGTCCTTTTTGACAGCTGAAGTAATTCGCCAAGTTATGGGCGAAAGCGAGGAAAATGAGGAGGTGGAATGCCTGGTGGTAGCCAGAAGCTTGTGGCTCAGGGGAAGGGCCCCGTCGGAAGCTTCCGATTTTACGGAGGAAAATTTGGACCAGATGATCCGGCGAATAGCCAGTTCCCCATCGGAACCATTGTCTTTAGAGGAGGAGGGTCTTCTTCCTAGGCCCGAAAGTCCCCATCAGGCGGAACAGCCTGTACAGGCGGAGCCCATTGCTCCTAGTCAAGAAGTTCGGGAGGTTCGGCCCAAGAGATCCAGGGAGTGGTGTATGGAGCAAGTGCGGCAGCAAATTGCTTCAAAAGCCAGGACTCCTGGATACTGGGGCAAGACGGCAGCAAAAGCTGGTCGCTGCGGCTATTGTGTAGGGGAGGGCCATAATTATTTTAATTGCCCGATCCGCATTAACAAAAACAAAAAAAAATAATAATTAATTAAATTGTATCAATTCTTTTTTTTTGTCTCACTCTAAACCCTTGTGAGGGAGGGTAAATTACCCCTCACTATTAAATTAATATTTTTTTATATAATCCTGTTGTCTTGACGTTATTAACCCGACAAACTGACCAACTCCTCTCCTTCACAATAATATTATTAAGCTAATTAAACATAAATCCTAAAAAAATATAGAGAGAAGAAGTAAAAATAAATAATAATTAATAAAATCATTCAATGCCTTCTAAATTTTGATTTAAAGGTTAAAATAGTCGTTCGATGAAAGTTACATAAAATTTTTTTTTATTCTCGATGATTAAAATGAACAAAAATTTGAATAATAACAAGTAATACTAAAGAAATTAAAATAAAATAAAATTTTTTTTTTTGAGAGCTGATCTGGCGAGGGGTGGTTCCGAGATCTGGGGCTTACCTGCTCGACCCCATTGGGCCGAGTCTTGGCAGGGGAGAGTTGTGACGTGGCATTTTGCCACACACAATAATTAATATTATTTAATTATTACCCATCAAAATGGGAATCTTCCTTTTTCCTAAAAATAAATAAAATATAAAATTAGACAAAAAATATAATTATTTGAATGTATTAATAAAATTAAAATAAAATAATAGATTAAACCTGCCAACTCGTCGAATCACTCTCGTATAATTTTGATTAATAAAATTTAGTATACTCGCGTCCAAATTTTTTTATGTTATCACGAGGTATTCTCGACATCCATTCCTGGTCGCTCATCCTTATGAAGTCAGCAGGGGAAGTACTTCCTGGTGCATATATTTGGATGAGATTCCTGAATATTCAAGAGCACCAGGAAGTCGAAAGAATATTATTTGTTTTGATCCTGTCAATAATGGGGGCAACCATTTTGGATTAGAGGACACCACTACGCCCTCTGGTCGAGTTGCGATCTACTTTACCAGCAACATCGATGAAATTTATCGACGCGCGATATATTGATTATCGACACATAGAAAGTAATTAATTACTTTCACTGGGACTCACCACCGAAAAGAAAGCGTGAAAGGTGACGCCGACTGAAGTCAAAGTTCAGCCATTTAATTTATTCATTCTCGTTTTGATGGTGATTCAGGCAGCAGGCCACAGAATTTTGTGCAAAGTAGAAATTAATTTTAAAAAATCCATGTCTGGACGAGGCGGTATACGGGGTCGGCGTCGTATTAGCGGTGAGTCCCAGTAATCTAAAAATTTCATTTCTCGCCAGATTGGCAAAATATAAAAGAAAATAATTAGTAAAAATAAAATGATGTTTGCTTCTCCGCATGGTAGGCGGAATAATTTTGTAAATTCGGCCTTAGGCCGAATACTTTAATTAAATTTTCAATTGTTTTGTTTGCAGAAAAGTGATAAGTTAATATTAATAGAGAAAAGATTAAATGTGAAATTAATAAATTATAGTCAATGTAAAATCAGTGAAGTGATTAATGTGTTTTTCTCCTTACCTCCCCCTCTCCGCGGTTTGCTAGGAAACTTTTCTAGCATTTTCTGAACTAGTCCGGTAAAAATTTAAAATAAATCAATATTTAATTTTTGTATATTTTTTTATATAAAATATTCTGGCGCTAAAAATTATCCCTTTATAAAATAAAAATAACTTAAAAATATATTAACCTCAAAGTGTAGATAACATTTTTTTCTAAATAATTTTTAATTATAAATAATTAAAATTATAATAATAATTATTAATAAATTAATAATAAATAAAAATAAAAATAGGCAAAATGTTATAATATATAATCCTTTTTATAAAGGATTTATATATATATATATATCATGTGTATGGTATCTTCCTGATCAGATAAAGAGGTAAAAAAAGTGATTTTATTTTGTTTTTATGTTTTAAATAAGTCTATGTAAATAGATTTTCTCTACATTTTCACTTCATTTAAAATCTCTTCATCCTGACCACCGTAACAACTTAGAACCGAACTGAACAATATTTAGTTCTGTGGGTAAAATCGCGCATAAAAATAGAGACAATTAAAATTAATTGAATTTAATAGTTTTTAATAAAAGCTGAATTTAATTAAATTTTTCTATAAGGATATGCAATGAGATGATGACGGTGGACGAAGGAAACCTCCTTTTCTATGAGGAAAATATTAAATTACAAGGTTTGCAACAGTACGTTTCATCCACCTCTGGATTATCATTACAAATAGTAATTAATACAAGTGTTTGGTTGAGTTCAAAATCAATAAGGTTTTAAACTATCACCAACACTAAATACAGCTAGACATATTTCACCTATAAGTGCAGGAATCGTCGGTTCTTATCGTTGGAGTAAATGACTCGTCGGATTTATGCTGAAAAAAATATCACCTAGAAAGTAAATTTTTCTCTTCAATTAACATCTCTAGAAAAGTAACAATAAAGATTTTTATTATTTCTTAAGTTATATTATCCCCTATTAAATTAAATAACTGGAAAATAGTACCCGACAACACCGAAACTTTCCTAAAAATTTCCTAAAGATTTATTTGAAATGTTCGGAATATTTAATTCCAATGTTTAGTGAAAATTGTGTAAAGATTTAAATGTCCCGATTAAATAAATGTTCAGGAAAGTTTCATACTAAACATTTATTTAATCGGGACATTGAAATCTTTACACAATTTTCACTAAACATTGCAATTAAATATTCCGAACATTTCAAATAAATCTTTAGGAAATCTTTAGAATAGATTCGGTGCTGTGGGGGGCAGAAAGTAATAGAATTTCTATTAGCAGTTTTATTAACTAAATTTTTGTTCCTTTTTTCAACTCAAATCCGACGTATCATTTTTTTCTACGAACCCAAGGATATTTTGCCCAATTGTTCAGTATTTGCTGAAGTTACACATATAGAATAGCTGGGATAAAGTATTCGTTCAACCAGAATGGATAAATGGTCTATCGGTAGAAGAGATCCTAGATATCTACAGAAGGTCAAAGGTCTCTGAGTAGGTCTTTTCGAGTCTCAAATAATATGAGCGTAGGCTAAGTCTCTCAATTACTAATATGTGCTTAAACTAAACTAATAACAATAATTATTAATACTTTTAGTTGTACATACTTTTAACATAACTTCATTTCCAAAATGACAATAAAGAAATATTTGAAATAGAAATGTTGTTAACACCATACTTTGGATAACAACCCTGTCATTAATTTCATTTTTTATAGATAAAACGAAGACGAGAGTACAAATATTTAAAATTGACCAAAAGAATTGAATGCCAAATACAATACTAAAAATATCGTTTACTCTACTGCTAAACCTATAATTTTTAAAATAATGTTGATAAATTGCATTATTGTTTTTTTGTTGGGATATACCCAGCTAAACATTTCTGTACAGGATCCTTAAAGGTTCCCTGATGAATCCTGTTAAGAATCCTACGCGGGATCCCACTAGGATCCGTTGCAGGATATTGGAACAGGGATCCAGTACCTGTGTACAGGAACCTGTGCAGGAACATTAGTTACTAAGGTTCCTTTGCAGATTCCTGTACAAGAAAATGTATAAAAATAATTTCATGCTAAGGTTCCTATACAGGAACACTCGCATGATCCTCTTAAGGAAAATATTTCACTTTCTTTTCATGCTAAGGAACATTTGTAGGAACCATAAGAGGATCCTACGTAGGATCCTAGGTGACTTTTTTTAAATAAAATAAAAAAAAATTTTAATTATTGATGAATATACATATATTGATACATTTAATTTTAAAAAATCTATTGCGCAGACGTAGAAGACATAGAAACTACCTGCGCAACAATAATTAGCATGGGATCCTGTGGAGGTTCATGTACAGGAATTTTTATTTAAAAATTTGTTTTAAACTTTCAGACAAAGGAACCTGCAAAGGAACCTTAGGTAACTAATGTTCCTGCACAGGTTCCTGTACAGGATCGCTGTTCCAATATCCTGCAACGGATCCTAGTGGGATCCTGCGTATAGGATTCTTAACAGGATCCATCAGGGAACCTTTAAGGATCCTATGTAAGAACCTCTAGGTATCCTTTAAGGATCCTGTACTGGAATTTTTAGCTGGGTATATATAATAAAATTCATAACACTACTCTACTGTAAAAACGTATATAAGATTTCACATTAGACCACAAAAAAGTATTCGCGTGAGATTGCTTACAAGATCTCAGGTGAGACACGTAAGTTCATGCAACTGATTTTACTAGATATATAGTAATTTATTCCACGAGAAAAATAAATTAGAAAAATATCTTATTCACGTTTTTACAGTAAGGTATTGGAAATTCCTATTTGCTACATATACACGGAGAAAAATGGAAAAACGAATAAAGTAACTTTTACTACTTTAAAAGTAAAATTGGACCTGTCCGAAGTTTCTGCGCATCTCTGGCAACTTTTACTCGAAAAATAGTAAAATTGACTATTTCTGTAGTAAATTTTACTGTTTCCGTAGTAATTTTTACTATTTCTGAAGTAAATTTTACTATTTTTGGAGTAAAAGTTGCCAGAGATGCGCAGAAACTTCGGACAGGTCCAATTTTACTTTTAAAGTAGTAAAAGTTACTTTTTCTTTTTTTCCGTGTAGAATTCTTTAGAAAAAACGTATAGGTGCCTGTAATGAAAAGTGAAACAAGCCCGTCAGAATAAAGCCATTAACTAATTTTATTACAAAATTTAAACTAAAACAGTTTAATTAACTAATTATAAATAACAATTAATTATAACAAATTATCCTACTTAGGTACCTTTCAATGGCGCATAAATCATTTCTCACAGGAGGCACTTATAATTATTTTTTGAAGAATCCTATACACAGGATACCTGTAGGTAAGGAATCCTCAAAGGAATTTCCATTAGTGAACAAAATAATAATTTGATTGAAATAAAATTAATAAATATCTCTGCACATGATATTGCTGCAATTTATTGGACTTATATTATTGGTGCACAAATACACGGAAAGAAATCTTGTTAGAATATTTAATAAATCTGAATAGAAAGTTTGATATTTTTGTTTTTCAATTGCGAAACATTCTGGTTTGATAATAAAAGTTGGTATAGTTTTACGAATTCCTTTAACTGGAAACATTTTACGAAAACTGAAATTATTATTTCTTAATTCAAATCTACAATTTTCGAATATTGAAAAAACAGTATAGGAAGTAAAGAGTCTAGCACTTTGTTATTTACTAAATTTATACGAAAAACAAGAACCAACATTTTGTAATTAGCTAAAACTATACGAAAAAGCAGGTGCCGTGAAAAAAGAAGAACGTCGGAACCACCAATGGCTCTTTTCTCAGGTTTTCTCTCCTTTTCTATTCGAGGGTAGTGGGGGTCTTTCTTAATAAACACACATAACTGGTACGCTTTGATTGGCTTAAAATTATTCCTAACACATCCTAACTACAATACGCATACATAAACGCAGAATAACACAACACATATAGATACACCGCAATGAGAAGAGAAACATTGTCATGCGAAAGTGAGAAACGGACTCCGTTGTTGGTCTTCGGAGGGGACAGTGGTGTTTCTCAGATAAAGTGAATGGCGATATTATTTTTATTCGCCTACCCTAGTTTTTTTTTGTTTCCGAGCATCAAGCTTCTACTAACAATCTATATTTAAATTTGTGTGTGTCACATAGCAGTACTTTTAACTATTATACTCTTATTGCGCGCACGTGGCCGGCTAAGGTTATGTCTTCGACAACCGGTGTGTGAGTTTCGAGTCTGCGCATCTAGTGTAACTTATCTCTGCTTCTATGCAGTCTTATACATTAAATCCGGGTCTTGTATTTGGCACTCTAAATAAATATTTCATAAGGGTGGTCTCTACTTCCTATCTTTTACTCATTGAACCCAAAATGGATTTTTAAATTTAACGGAAGTGGTCCCGGCTTATCGAAAGGTCATTGTGTTTCAAGTGCTACTTTTAACTAACTTCACGGCCATTCAAACACATGGGTTAAGCGAAGTGGTTCCAGCACATCGTCTGTCATCAACGACCTGACGTCATATTCACCTGCTTTCACGGACATCTAGGCGTACGGTATGTTTGTCTTGCTGCTTTCTCCTGTTTCCGTATAACTCTACCTTTTTTCTTTTTGAATTTTTGAGGGTCTTAAGTAACACTTATTTAATTAAATTTAAACTTACACTTTTACAATCTTTAAAAATTTTTTCTTTTTTTTAAGGTTGATGGGCTTCTTTTATTTTTCGTTTATTTACTTTTTTTTCTTCTATGGGATTATACGGCAGTACAGGTTTTTGGTTATAAATAAAAATATAAATTAAAGAAAGAAAGAAGAATAAGGAAAACAACAAATATATTAAATTTTTGTTTTCTCGGTTTTATATAATTTTTAAGCTAAACTTGTATTAATATTGATATTTTGTGCTACATTATTTTCATCTGAAATAAATAATTCAATTGAATAAAATAATTTTCTAATTTAAATTGTAAGAGTTTGAATGGTCCCAGTCTCGACTTAGTGTAACTGCTAAGCACTACACTTTTTATGAGTCTGATTTTTCGGTTGAATGTTCGATACTGGGTCCATCCCTCACTCTCTTGTATTTTTATTCAATTCTTACACTCAATGAAAGTACGCAGTGAGATGTATTCTGTTTACTGATTGGCTTGTTTCTCTCGGATCCTACTAAAGTTGAACTAATTGTTTGATTGTTTATTTAATTAAATTAAATTTATGAATGAAATGTTCCATAAGCTCATTATTGTCTCAAGTTGAGGCGGATGCGAGTTTGGGGCCTATCACAGTTCTGGGACTTTTATACATATTGTAAACTTTTGTATAAATGGCTATATAGATAAGGAAATGGGCAATAACTGATTGAAACTTTAGAGAACTATAATCTTTTTCCATGGTCTACATTTTTTGTTAAATGTTTTTCTTCTGATTCCCAATTTTTTGGGACTGGCTAGCACGTGGATTTGCGATAATTTCGCACTTGCAACTTCTTTTTCCCTTTTATTTTGTCTTTATCTTAACTTGTGCTTCCTTTTTACATGTCTTCCCCAAGTAATCCCGCGCCAACGCTCAACTAGTTCTGGATAAATTCAGACCTTTACTGGACGGACGCAACTCTTCTAGACCGGGATCGTCCGAATCATTGAACTCGGCTTCTGCGTCTCAGTCTCTGACTTCGACACTTACATCTTTGTCACATCACTCGAAAATTGGGCTCGCTCGTTCGGAGAGTGACATTAATGAAATTGACAACTCAAACAAACGCAATTTGTCCCTCTCTCCTAATCACATTTCACCGAGCAATCCTATTGGTGCAGATATCAGGAAAAGAAGTAGGAATGATATCCCCTTTCCTATTCAACTCGTAGAGCGAGTATCACATAGATTTGATTCTGGCAATAGGCCTAGTAAACGGAATGCTAAACGTCCGGATGAGGATCTCAATAACCCTGAACTGTACTGGGCTGCAGATGTCACTCATATGTTTACCCAGTACAGTGAAGATTCTAAGGGCCCTTACCTTGTTTTGATGGAATCCACGAACCCTAACCAAAATCTCGGTAAATATGAGCCTCTAGCGATAGGTAAATTAATAGCAGAGGTTACTAGAGGCGAAAGACGTATTCACGTTACCGGGAGAAACCAAATAAAGATATTCTGCGTCAATCTGTCGGACGCTAATGCGATTCTGTCTTCACACCTTCTCATGTCTTCTGGATATAAAACTTTTATCCCAGATCCTGTGGCATACAAAAAAGGTTTCATCAGGGCGAGTATACAACTTTCGGTAACGGATATCATCGTGAATTTAGATGCAGAAACTCTTAACATCATTGTATCCGCAAAAAGAAGACGCTCCAGGGCTGATAACAGCCTGCTTGATATAATTGATCTGGTCTTTAGATCGACCACTGTTCCGCGCTTTATATATTCTTGGAGCTCCCGCACGTTTGTTACTCCCTCAATTCCCATCCCAAAACGATGCTATAACTGCCAAAGATTTGGCCATGTTTCCTCACAATGTAAAGCATCTTCATCCACTTGCGAACATTGTGGTGATCCACATCAATCAGAGGGTTGTACGAAACCGGCTTCGTCGGACTTCTGTGTGAACTGCAAGGGCAATCATAAGGCTTCTTCTAGCACTTGTACAGTCTACAGAAATGAGTTCGAGGTGATGAAGCTTATGTACTTAAAAACATCTCTGATGTGGACGCTAGATCCTTGCTCAGGGATAGGGGTGGTTTTATTAAGAATTCGGTTCATTCTCCTATTGTTAAACAAGCTATAATTCCAGCTACAGTTTCATCGATTCCTTCTGCTTCAACATCTCACACACCTTCAACATCTTATATTATCAATCAACCAATAGATCCCCATTTCTCATTTGTTCAACCTATAGATTCCGTACTTAATCCCAGTGATTCTGCTCACAATCAGGACATTATTCTTTCACCTAGTGACCCCTCCCTCATCAAAAATAGCACGATTCGGTCAGATCTGGACAGCGATACGACGATGCACTCCCTGGATGATTCAATTGAGGAAGATTATCAGAAGGATGATGTTAATAAGCCTTTAACGTCCTGGAGTAACATAAAGGATGCTACAGAGAACGTCGGTGAAGTTCCCAAGGCCAATAACACTCCTGCTCGAAAGAAGCAAATTTCACGTAATTCGACTCAAGTTTCAGATGTTTTGTTGCCCTCTCACCTAGAATTTGATCGTGTTTAAACTTTCCTTATAATCCATACCTCCGTTCGCGTGCTACTAGTCCCACACCTAACTCTTATAGTTTGTCTTATTTTACTTCACTTCTGTACAATATCTCAGGATGCCCCATCCTAATTCTCATCGTTCTTTGAGGTGTGGCACCTGGTACGCTCGCAGCGTTCTGAATAAACGAATTAATATAGAGACTCTTCTGTTTGACCTAAAGATGGGATGTTAAGGGATTTATATCCTTTAGTTGCGATCTTCCACTCCGTCACGGTATCGGGGGGGGTGGCACGATGATCTTGGTTAAGAGGGATATTCTCGTGAAAATGCTGGATCTCCAGGGCTCATGGTCTGACGTGATGGAGGCTGTGGGTATTAGAATATATACTAGTAGAGGTCCTCTTTTATTTATCTCTGCCTACATATCTCCCTCAGCGAAAGTCTCTGCGGAGCATTGGATTGAACTTATTTCTCCTATCCCAGCAGATGGTAACCTGGTTCTTTTGGGACATTTTAATGCCCACTTGCCGTTTTCCCTCCATATCGTCTCAACCCAAGAGGAAAATCTCTCATGAACCTTATTGAAACAAGAAATTTAATAGTTATGAATGAGGATATTCCCACCTATAGATCCCCGGCGATCGGAGCAGAAAGTGTTCTTGATCTTATCCTCTTATCCCCTGTCCTGGCGGGCTTTTCGTTCTCGGAAACTCTTCCCGACCATTTCGGCAGTGATCATTTTCTTGTCTCTCTCACCATTGATCTGGATACTCAGTCTGCCTGCAATAGCTCACATAGGCTTAGACTGGACAAGGTGGCTGGTCCTACTTCTCCATCCTCTCGGATCACTTTATTGATTCTCTTCCGCCCTTTAGAAATTCTAATATCAGAAAGCGTTACGACTCCTTCATCGAATCCATTATTCGTAATTTAAAACAGGCTGGGGCCTATCTACCAAGTGCCTCCAGAAGCCGCTCTCCGATCAAACCTACCTGGTGGTCGCCGGAGTGTGATGGAGCTTTGGCGGATAGAACTTTGGCCAGGAGAAACTACATCTCTGATCCCAGTACGTCCAATTACGAGGAATATTTGAGGGTTGTAGAGAGGTCGGGCTCTATCCTAAAGAACCTCAGACTGGAATCATTTAAGCTTCTTTGCAGCTCTATATCCCCTCAGATGGGCTCTAAAAGAGTTTGGGGTTTGGTCAGAGCCTTCCAGGGCAAGCTGCCCCCCACCATGAATGCATCTAACGACCCTGACGCAGCGGCTTTCGCGGATTTGAAGAGAGAAATTGTTAGGGAGGAGGTTTCCCCAATCGATTTTCAGATGATGCCGGTGTTGCGAGATGAGGACCCGTACAACCTCCCTTTTTCACGCGATGAATTGAATTGGGCCATCAACCTATGTAAAAAGGACTCTGCGCCTGGAAAGGATCAAATTCCGAATATTATTTTTCGTAAACTTCCCCTCTCAAACCTTGAAGAGTTGAGGGATATCCTTAATGCGTGCTTTCGCTTGTCAATCTTCCCTGACTCCTGGACGGAATCTTTAGTTAAATTTATCCCCAAACCTGGGGGCAAGGAGTACAGACCAATCTCTCTTACATCTTCAGTTGGCAAGCTAATGGAACGCTTAATTCAAAAAAGGCTGGATCACTATGTTAAATTTTACCGCCTGATTCCCCCTCACCAGTTTGGTTTTAGGAAGAACAGGTCAGTTACCGATTGTGTCTCGGTTCTTGTGGTAGATGTTCTCAAAGGGTTTACTTTGTGCCAGGGTACGGCTGCCCTTGCTCTCGATCTTAAGGGGGTTTTCAATGCCCTCCTTCCTTCTAAGATTCTTGACCATCTTGCATGCTGCGGTACTCTGACAAGGATAAGAAACTTCGTTGTTATTTAATTTAGCTTTGAGAGACATCTGCTCACGTCTTCCACCAGGGGTGCGGATTCTACAATACGCCGATGATATATTACTGTACTGCCGATATACTTCCGCCACGGACGCCCTAAATCTCTTGGCTCAAGCAGTGCGCTCCCTCTCTCCGTGGTTGCTTGAGGCTGGTCTTAACTTTTCCCCTTCGAAGAGTTAGCTCTGCCTCTTCGATAAAAGGTCTCTTGTTGATCAGCAACTTCGCCTGGAACTAGAGGGTCAGGAGATCCCCATTGTCGAGACTATCATGTATCTGGGTATCCTTCTGGACTCCAAGCTTTCTTGGAAACAGCACGTTGAATACATTGCTGCGAAAGCTTTTAAAGCTATCAATGTTTTAAAAGTGCTGGGAGGAGTTTCCAAGGGCGCAAACCAGGAAACCTTATTATTGATTTATAATGGCTGGTTAGGGCTCATTTGGAGTGGGGTTCTATTCTTTTCGCCGGAGCTTCCAAAAGCACGTTAGCAAAACTGGATAAAGCGCAATACAAGGCATTAAGATCGGCTTTGGGTTTTATGCGTTCCACCCCGATTCCTATAGTATTGTTAAAGGCTAATGAACCTCCTCTCCATCTTAGAAGGCATCTTGCCTTGCACAGAAATGCGGTTAGAATTTGCTCCTGGAGTGATAACCCTACGGCAAAAAGGCTTGCACATTTGGATCTAAAAAGTAAAAATCAACGAAACTTTCCTAAGTACGCCTTATCCCTACCTTTGCTCGTCCACCTCAGACCTACTTGATATTTTTGATACACCCAAAAAACCGAGGCGGCCTGGCTACTACAACCAAGTTTGGTCTGACCTGATGTTTGAGTTATCTCCTCTTATTGATCTCAAGGAGGGGTTTAATATCAGGAAATCAAAGTCACATCAGACTTCTTTAAACGATTTTCTCCAGGCGCAATATCCGAACTTTACATCTATTTTTACAGACGGGTCGTACAAATTGTCTAATGACGAAGCTGGTGCCAGTTTTTTCGTTCCAGGCCTTAATTTCAGGCATGGCACTAAAGTTAGGGGCTGCTTTTCGTCTACTTCTGTGGAACTTTTCGCCATATTTCAGGCTTGCAAATATGTCAGGGATTACAATATAAATAAATCTATTATCTGTACGGATTCTCTTGGTTCCCTCTCTGCCTTGAAGGATAGGGTCACAAACTTCTCCCTTGACCCCATTATTCATGATATCGTTAACATCATTATCAATATCACTAAGAAAGGTCAACTGATTAATTTCTTATGGGTCCCTGCCCACCTGGACCTGGAGGGTAACTCTGAAGCCGACCGTCTTGCTAAAATGGCTGCTTCTCTCAATATTAGTAATGCCCCTTTTACGGGCTATCTCTCTCATCCTAGTATGGAGAAGATTAAGAAACTCATTGAAAAGGACCATCAAGGTAATTTTAACATTCAATGGCCATTTTTCGATCCCCGAAGATGCTCTCAGATATACTTTGAATATGTGAACCATTGTTTGTTCTGACAGTTGGCATCGCCTAAAGTCATTTAAGAAGAAGTAGTAGAAGAAGATGTGAACCATAAGGTGGATAGACCTTGGTTTCGGAGCTTTGATCTGCCCAGGAATTATATCAATCTGGTATCCCGTCTCAGGTCGGGCCACATATGCGTCGGTGCACACTTTCTGCGAATGAACTGGAATATCTCCCTCCATTGTTCTTGTGGGGAGAGCATAGGTTCTATTCCTCATCTGCTCAACCACTGCATATTACTTAATCCTGGCCGCCCGAACTTCATTAACTTTGTCAGGAAAATGTTCAATGATATCTCCAACCTAGAAGCAAAACTTACTGCTCTTATATTCCATCCAGACGCAGACCTAGATACTGTCTCGGAATTAGGAGATTTTCTTATTGGGCGCGGTGTACTATTTTAATCTCACCTACCTCCGTAGTCATTAAATTTGTTTACTTTATTTCTATTAGTTTTTTAAGTTTTAGCACGTAGGATCCTAGGTTAAGTTACATTTGTTATTGTTCCAAAAGTTTAGTTTTTAGTTAATTTAAGGGTTTTATTTAGTCATCAAGGCGATATATTTATTTTACACCTGTCTCAGACCTCTAGCTCGGACCCGATCTACACTTTATGCTTCCCACACACTCGGCTTCCCATCCCTGCGGCTTCACCACGGGACGGCTCAGTTGTGCCCTCGCGAGATGGCGCCATGGAAGCACATCGGTGAGCGGTTACATCGATCTTGTTCATTGAGTTGCTATTGATACGTCTATAAGTATTGAAAATGCACTGCTTGTACTGCTTATTATAATTCACTTTGGTTCGGTTGGGAGGGGGGCTTCCATCTATGCTTCCAACTTTCCTTTCCACGCATCCATTGAGCTTTACACATACCTTGTTTCTCCACAACCTTGCTGCAAGCACATACAAATACTGCACCACGCATGCGTGCTTCAACACGGTTGCTTCGTCACTGCCTGCTCACTCAACCTGCTTTGGACTGGACACTACGGAAGCGCCTACAAGTCACCAGCGAACTATCTTGTTCGCGTCACATTTTTAGCTGTGAAACCGAGGAACGCGTTCGATGGTTTCGCTGTTTCCTTGTTTTTGAGTGACGATAAAACACACTGTACGATTCGATAGTTCGATGGTTCTCTGGTTTTACTTAGTTCTATCGTTATCGAAGTCTAAATTTTGTATTAAAAAAATAAATTTAAATTTAAAAACCGAAATATAATAATATATTTAAATTATATATTTGAGATATATCAGATATCTTATAATGTGTGCCTAAAAAATTATTTTATTTAAAAATAATAGTACAAAATATTATTTTGAAGTAAGTTGATTTGTTTGCATTTTATATTTGTACTATACTATTAATATTTTGTACTATTATTTTTAAATAAAATAATTTTTTAGGCACACATTATAAGATATCTGATATATCTCAAATATATAATTTAAATATATTATTATATTTCGGTTTTTAAATTTAAATTTATTTTTTTAATACAAAATTTAGACTTCGATAACGATAGAACTAAGTAAAACCAGAGAACCATCGAACTATCGAACCGTATAGTGTGTTTTATCGTCACTCAAAAACAAGGAAACAGCGAAACCATCGAACGCGTTCCTCGGTTTCACAGCTAAAAATGTGACGCGAACAAGATAGTTCGCTGGTGACTCGTAGGCGCTTCCGTAGGACACAGCTATTATACTCACGCTTTGCTTCGCACGATACAGTCACCTATTCTCACACCACTCTGATGTAATCAACATACATAAACAACGTTACACTCGTGTGCTGAGCTTTAACCTATTTTCTAAGACTACTTCGGACTCGATACAACCTCTCTTCTTATATTTTGCTTCAAGTTACAAGTTTTCAATTTACATTAGAATGGTTTTTACCACTTTGTTATTTTGATTCAGGACTTTGTGTGCATTCACCACGTCTAAGAACTACAGTTTCATCGAATTGGCCTGATATTATCGAAGCCACACCATATACAATTTTTTTTGAAGAAGAAGAAGAAAGTGAGAAACTTTTCTCATCGATGAGTGAGTAAAATCAAGGTTGCCAACCTAGAAGACGTGTTGGTAAGGTAGGTATTGCATTTTTTCTTAAGAAACTATTCAACGTCTTCTAAGTTGGCAACCTTGATTTTACTCACTCATCGATGAGAAAAGTTTCTTACTTTCGCATGAGAATGTTTCTCTTCTCACTGCGGTGAATAGTCACTCATAGATACATAATTCACGCTGAAATGAGAAACTGTGAACTTCTTTATATACCAAATAGACAGATTTTTCTGCACTTGTGAGAAGCTTAACATTACATTGTTAAATATTTAAAAATAAAAATAATTATTTATTAAGAAATAATAAAATATTTTATTACCTTTCAAAGAACAATTTTTATCATAAAATCATTTAATTTAATTATAGAAGCAAACTTATAACAAATATTCTATAATTATATTTAGAAAAAGAAATATAGAATAATTAAAAGCAATTATTTATCGAAACTTTTTCTAGTCTATATTGCAGAAATAAAAATTATATATAAAAATTATGAGCAAACAAATGAAGTATTTTATTATTAAATATTAATTAAAATTATTTTTAATTCATATTGCAGTATTAAAAATTATTTTAAAAACAGGATGTCCAGCAAGGCTTAAAGAAAAAAATTCCCTGACTTTTCTCTGATATTTTTTTCCGCAATTGTAACTTAATATACTAAATATGAATGTCAAAATAATAAATATCCTTACAAGATTTCTTTCCGTGTATTTTGTAAAATTGCAGAAATATCTTTGTCTGTGGGGATATGAATGTAATATATATATATCGCACATGTAGACGTAATTGTGATGCACAATACAGCTTTTAATAATGTTGGCCTCTTCTGTTTCATTAAACATGATGTATCTCATATTGTTTCTATACAAATATGACAAACTTTGAAGACGATGATATATTATATCAAGCTGAGAACAAATTTGGATCAACATCGTCATTATAAAGGTTTCAGATGCAACAGTAATAAAACCAGAAAAACAAATAAATACAGATTGACCAACATATGTCAAACAAAATGCTGCTTTCTGATTATAGTTGTACGGAAATGATGCTTTCAATGGCAAACTAATATCGTTTCCCTTTATCAATCCTCCAAATATCATCGTTAACGCTGTGGCAAAGGTTATTGCGAAAAAATAGTTTGTGTTCTTTCTGAAATAAATTAACATTAATTATTTTATTTGTTATGTATAATAAAACTAACCCAACACTCATAATATTTACTAAATATTTTTTAATTATTTCAATGAAAAGTCCTTGAAATATTGTTGCAAACAGAAAAATGTTCGCTTTTGAGGAAAATATTGCCATGCAAATTTCCTGAAATATTTCATTGGAATATTTTTTAAATTTTCAATTTAAATGATGCACACTGGTCGGTTTTAGTTTTTATGACCTGTACAGCTGCGCAGTAGTTTTTAATTTTCTAGGATCCTAAAGTGTTGAACATGTTAGAAAATACTGATGGATTTCATATTTTTAAAAAATTTTAACTTTCTGTGAAATATTTCCTAAATATCACAGGAGTCTTAATGTGTAATATTTCAAAAAATTGCATGGCAATATTTCCTTGAAGGAAATCTTTCATTGAAATATTTCGAAAATATTTTTGAAATATTATTGCTGAATAGGAAGATATCCTTTAATGATGTACTGAAAAAAAACTAGTAGGTTTTACTACTTTTTAACTACTCTGAATAGTACAATAGGTCCTCAACTGAATTTAAACGGTTCTATTAACTATATAAAAATAGTTAAACCAATTAAAAATGTAATTGGTAGAATGACATTTTGTGATTGTATTAACTCAATTTAAAAATGTTAAAACAACTCAAGATGTAAGTAGTAGATTTTACTACTTAAAGTGGTTCAATAGGCTTTAAGAACATTTTTTGGTACATTTAATAAATATTTTACAATTGAAACTACTACTTTAAGTAGTAAAGTATACTACTGAAAGTGGTTCAAGAGGCTTTAAGAACATTTTTTTGTAGAATTAATAAATCTTTTGCAATTAAAACTACTACTTTAAGTATAGTAGATTTTACTACTTAAAATAGGAAAATAAAATTATTTTTTATTTATAATTGTTTATTATCAGTAGAATTGACTTTTTCATCCTCTCTCCTATACTGACGCTTATTTTATGCCCTAACGATTATGTACCTAACAGAGAAAATTTCTAACCGACGGGAATTGAACCCTCGACCCTAACGACAGTCTGCAAACTACTTGAAGGCTTCTTTCTGCTTGTCCAATTGGTAATTTAACTATTTAAAGTAGTCATTTTTACTACTTTTATTAGTTGCTATAACTATCCTTTTTAAGTTTTGACTTTAAATTTTTCATCTTTTAATTATATTATAAGTTGTTTAATTGCATAATGCAGTAAAATCTACTACTTAAAGTGATAGTTTTAGTTGCAAAGGATTTTTTAATTCTACGATATAAATGTTCTTAAAGCCTATTGAACCACTTTAAGTAGTAAAAGCTACTACTGAAAGTAGTAGTTTTAATTGGAAACGATTTGTAAATTTTACATCAAAAACGTTTTTCAAGCTTATTGAATTAATTAAAATAGTAAAAAATTACTACTTAAAGTAGTAGTTTTAATCACAAAGGATTTGTTAATTCTACAACAAAAATGTTCTTAAAGCCTATTGTACCACTTTGAGTAGTAAAATCTACTACTTAAAGTAGTAGTTTTAATTACAAACGACTTGTTAATTCTACAACAAGAAATTTTATTGAAGCCTATAAAATCATAGAAATTAATAAAAAATTTACTACTCAAAAAGCAGTTATATTAATCAAAGAAAATAATTCCTTTTACTACATTTCATATAACTGGTGAACAGTAGTTGGATTTACTACTCTTCAAATTTTGAGTTGACTACAATTCCACTTGTTTTTACTACCTTAAGAAAGTTAATTTTACTACCGACCTGTAGTTGTACTTTAACTACATATTTACGTAAAATCAACTATTACTTATTAACTTCTTAAAAATAGTTACATTAACTATATTAGATTAGATTAGATTAGATTAACTAAAAAGTAGTTATTTTACTACTTTCTAGTCAACTATCCAATGGTAGTTGAATTTCTCGGCAACATTTTTTTCAGTGTGTCTATTTCGTATATTTTTAATATTATAAATAATTCGGTGGTATAAAGGCGCTCTCACATCTTTATGACTGCCTGCAGGTTACCATGGCAACGCATGAGAGTGAGTGCGACAGAAAATTTAAAAATTTGAATATTCAAATTTTCTGTCTCACTCACACTCGTGCGTTGCCATAGTAACCTGCAGGCAGGCAGACAGCCAAAAAGGTATAAGTGCGCCATTAAAAATCAGTTATTTCTTAAAAATTCATAAAAGTGTAGATAATTCAATTCAATGAAAATAATTTAAATAATAAAAATCTCCATTATAATACAAACCTAGCTGTAACATCACATTTATCTTGAATAATTTTCTCTTTATTGTCACGAATTTGAAAGATATCTTCACTTAAAATATTTATCAATTTTATGATATCTTCTCGTCGAAATAGGAAGATTACCATTTTGAAACAAGAAACAAAAGCTGCAAGAGACCAAAATAACGATTCTGCTACATCATACATGTTATTTAATGAGTGAAGAATAAGATACATGCACATTGATATAGAAGTCGAGTATGAAAAAATAATCACAAAGACGGTAAAAAAATTATACAGACTCTTTGCAATGAACGATGACCAACTTATTGGTCTATGAGCACCAACAATTGTAAGAAGTTTTATTGAAAATTCGGCTTTATACATTTTTAAAAGAACTTTCGAAGTTACTTCACTCGTCAAATAAATTATTTCCTATTTTTTCATATATTATACTGTTAAAACATATATATTTAAAAACCAAAAATAAATTATCATACATTTTCTTCTTTCTTTTAAATATTTTTTTTTTAAATTTGTGTAATTAAATTACAACAGTTAGCAAAATATTTTATATAAAATAATTTTTGCAGAGTATACGTTTAACATCTAAAAACTGAAGTTTTATAATGATTACAGATCTGTTATAGACGATACAAATTTTCAGTAAGCTATAGGCTATAGATAGCTCTCCTTACACGCATATATGAAATAAAACTATATTTATTATTCCATAGTTATTCACCCTATCTTATACAATTTTAAAAGTATAATGACAAGGTAGATACTTGAGAAAATGAATATAATTTTATCTAATGCATGTGACAAAGTCGCTTTTGTAATATTGTGCAGCTAAGGTTTCATTACTTATTTAAATCTATATATTGCTGCAAATAGTCATAATACGTAAAAAGATGATAATATCATTTTCAACACTACATCAAATTCATTATAATTTTATACATTATTCACAAATATATCGTGAAATTATCAAGATAATTCTATTCATATAAACTTCCATCTTTACGAAAATAAATTTTTTATTATGTTTCATTTTTTCCAGATAAAAGCATTGAATTATTTTTAATTTCTTTAATGCTTTTAAAATCAAATTATTTTGTCCACGAATAGGTATGTTATAAATGATTTTTTTGTTTTTAATATTTATAAAATTAAATACTAATTTAAATTTCAAATAAAAAAATTATAATTATACAATGAATACAACAATGAAATATTTTATCTATTAATATGTAACCTTTACCAAATGTCTTAGGGGTCGTTCATAAACCACGTAGCCCTACTTTTGTCACTTTTTGACCCCCCTATGTAGGCCAATGTATACTTTTTCTATAACCCCCCCCCCCCCAACCCCTGGTAGAACGTAGTTTTCCTAACTTATTTATCTAAATGCATGTTCATTGCAGTATCAACGGGTGTCAGTAAAGAAAAATCAGTCCAAACATAAATATTAATTTTTTTATTTTTGCATAAATAAACAATCTTTAATATTCATTAAACTTTAAAATAAAATAAAAATTTCTTTATAAACGTTTTATCTTACTCTTTAAACCTGAATCAGTCATATTTCACTGATTAGCAGTAGAAATCTACTAATTGCCATAGCGAGAATTGAGCAACTGATAATTAGTAGAAATTTACTGATTCAATTAGTAAAATATCAATTACTGATTGAATCAGTAATATAAATATATGGCGGCGGCCGCAAAATCTACTGATTTATAACAGTTAATTTTAAAGATTCGATTATCGATCGATTCGAACTTGGAATAACCCGCGCTTATAAAAAAAACAAAATAAATAACTACGTAACCATGGCTCGAACCCCCCCTCCCCCACATAAGTAGAACTTCACTAAACATTCACTAAACCTCCCCACCCGGTTTCTCGGTCCAGCGGTCTCTCTGGCTGAAATTTTAGGGGCAAAAATTTAATTATGTACTTTAATTAGTGTTTTCTAGCTCCGAGAAAAGTGTACCTAAGTAAAAAAATTTAAAAAAATTTGTAATCTGAAAAAAAATTTACTTGATTCGAATAATCGGTTATTTGACTATTATAGCAAATAAATATTTACTTGGAGCAAATAATTTTTGATTTATTAAAGGGTAAGTCCACGTCAGAAATATCAGAATCTGCAAGTGTTTCTTCGATTTTAATGATACTTGGTAAAATTATAGCTTTATATAAGAGCAATGTGTAAGTAAAAGGAATTTTTAAAATATCTAAAATTGTAGGAGTTATATCACTTTTAATTTTGATACTGCATTTTTTTCTTTCCTTTATATCTCGGTCAATTTTCAACCGATTTTGATGAATCAAAAACGATTTTTTTCAGAAAATTACGTATTTTCAGAAAATTTTAAAATAAAAATAAAATTTTGTTATTTAAATAGAAAAAAGTAAAAAACAAAATTTCTTTTAGATTTTTTTTCAATTTCGACCTCTTTTTTTTAATTTTTAATTTTTTAATAATATTCCTTTTATTTTATCTTTAATTTAAAAAAAAATCATCCTGGAGACTTTTTTAGATCTCGTGATATCGTCCTTTAAGTATTATAAGTTTTCATCAATTGGAAAACCGCAGGACTTGCTTCTATCATTATTTTCATTTGTTTGTTGAAATTTTTTATGGTTATAAATAACTATTTGTTTTAGAATCCTCTAAAAGAAAGCGCTAAAAACTTCAGCTACAATTTCAGGTTGCATTGTTAAAGTTTCATCACAATTTATTTTAAATTATAAATATTACAAAAAATAAAAACTTTGCTTCAAATCTATTAATAAAATATTGATTTGCTTGAATTTTCACTTGTTTTAGTCAAGTAATTTAAAAATAAAAACATTATTACGCGAATGTTTCTAGTTTGTAACAATAATATTATAAAACAAATGAAAGTAGAAACACAAATCTGGATCCTAGTTTTCTTGAGATGTGGATATTTAAAGAACGATATCACGAGATCTAAAAAAGTCTCCAGGATGAATTTTTTTTTAAATTAAAGATAAAATAAAAAGGAATATTATTAAAAAATTAAAAATTAAAAAAAAGAGGTCGAAATTGATAAAAAATCTAAAAGAAATTTTGTTTTTTACTTTTTTCTATTTAAATAAAAAAATTTTATTTTTATTTTAAAATTTTCTGAAAATACGTAATTTTCTGAAAAAAATCGTTTTTGATTCATCAAAATCGGTTGAAAATTGACCGAGATATAAAGAAAAGAAAAAAATGCAGTATCAAAATTAAAAGTGATATAACTCCTACAATTTTAGATATTTTAAAAATTCCTTTTACTTACACATTGCTCTTATAAAAAGCTATCATTTTACCAAGTATCATTAAAATCGAAGAACCACTTGTAGATTCTGATATTTCTGACGTGGACTTACCCTGAATTAAATAAACTGTATTTGAACCAATAATTTCTGTATTTGAAACAAATACCATTTAATTGAATCAAATAATAATTATTTGGTTCAAGTAAATATTTATTTGATAATAGTCGAGTAACCGATTATTTGAATCAAATAAATTTTTTTTAGCTTTGTAATAGTTATGAACTTGCAAGTAAAATGAAGTGTCTTATTGTTGGTATATTTAATTACAATATTTACTTATTTTTAAATTATAAAAAAAACTAATTTATTAACTCACAAATTAATTAGTTTTTTTTTAATTTAATTTTAATAAAATTTGAATTTCTGATAATTTTTCAAAAATTTTTATGGAATTTCTTGTGGAATCTCCTCTGAAACGATTTTATAGAATTTCCGTAGAATAATTCCTTATAGAATACAGCCACGTAGAACTTATAATCTAAATTATAATAATGTCAGGAAGACAGATTATCAAAGTATAATAATAATATTTAAGTAAATTCAATTTTTTTTTAATATTTAAATCTCGCGCTATGTTTAGGATAAGAATAGATTCTACTTTACCAACAAAACATAAAGCTCTCTCTCTCTCCTCAGACACCTACTGCCATCTTTGTACATTAAATAGAATCCAATTACATCCCATCTGAGAGAAGCAAAGCAATCATGGTAATCATATCATTCTCAGTGTATAGTTTTTAATTTTTTTTTTACTCTTATTTCTTCTTCTACATTGCAAGAGAATAAACTAAAAGTGGGTGGAAATATTTGATAAGGTGTCGCGACGCTTTGCCTTTTTGTCTAATCTCGTGTGATAGTGTATCCTGTGTGTATGCGTAACTAAACGAATTGTATATATGATCATGAGACGTGTATTAAAAGGTTAGTCGTAAATTTTAAGACAACAATGCACAACAGTGAAAGTCCGTTATAGGTATATATATTGTGTTTGGAATTTGCACGCGAAGGTTGCAATTTCCATAGATTCCTTTTTCTAAATCGTTCACATGTAGTTTTGATTTTTTGAAAATCACAACTTCATTTTAATGTATTTATCAAATAAAACGCATCGGAAATTGCACGGCGAATAATTGTAACGAAAAAAAAACGCAAATCGTGACGATCGATGCTTGTGGAAACATGAAACGAGATGTTCATCACGACGAATCCTTCGGTGCTTGTCGCATTTTTAATAGTTATTAATTTTTTAACATTGTGATTGTCTTTTTATCTAAAATCAATAAGCAATTGGATGCGGATATGCGATAAATGGACATCAGTTTTTAGCAGTCCTGTAAGTATTGTCAAAAAAAAAAAAAACCTGCTCTTGCTTTTTTATCTTATCTCTCTTTTATATACCCACCCTTCTTGAAATAAATCTTTGGCACGCGTTTCCTCTCGCACTATAAACGAGAGCAAATGCTTTTTAAATGTCAGTATTTCGCGGCATTTACTTTCAGAGACTATTTTATTTCATCTTTTTACGATAGGTATATATATATATATATATTATATACATAACTTCATTTTAAAGTAAAAGAAACAAAATATTCTTGACATTAATTTTATTTTATTTAAAATTCTTAGCTATAATATTAGAAAACATTGATTTTTTTTAATATATTTTTTAATCTTTGTCATATATGTATTTATTATTAAAATTCTTTGAAAAAAAATTTTTTCTTTCACAAACTACAAGAGAGTTTAAATATTTTGGTTTTTTTTACAAATATACAATGCTTTGTATAATAATGAAATTTTTTCTCCATTGTAAATATTTTATTTTGTATGCATACGTCAATAAAGAAAATAATTTGCAAGAAGTTTACGATTATAGTGGGAAAAATAACATTCATTTTCTTGGTAACATGTCAACATTGATTTTACTTTATAATGTATTTTTAAATTATATAATTATACTGAGAAAAATAGAAGAAAAAAATATATATACGTCAGTAAATGTATTTTATAGTCTTAACAATTTTTCGATATTTATTAATTATAATAACACTTTGAACAATATAATAATTTTGATATTTCTTTTATTTTAAATAAATTATTCACAAATACATATTTTATTAATACAAAAAAACGACGATTAAAAATTCTTTCATTCTTTTAATAAAAATTGAATAAAAAAATCTTTTTTTTTTCTATTAACTTAATTTTCTTTAACAACAGAAAAGTATATATGTGTTTCGCAAAGCAAGTTTCCATTCTTAAACCTGATATCCTTAACCTATAAAGAATTTTTTATTTATTTTCCAATATCGAAAATATATATTATCAATTATTTAAATTTATTTTTATAAGAAAAAATTGAAATTTTATTTGAAATTAACAATATTGTATTCATTTTTTTTTCTGTCATTCTTTTTATAAGACACAATTTTCTCTTTATAAATATTAACCTGGATTTTCCGAACCCCTGTTATCCGAACTTTTTTTTGCCTTTCCGAATCTTAAAATTCAAATTTCACTAAAAAAAAAAAAAAAAAACGAATAAATTTCATTTTTCAAAGCAAAATAACATAATTTATTTCAAAGAAATCTTTAAAAAATTCGTTTTTTATTTTATTAATGTATTTTTATTTTTTAATTATTATTTAATTTAATATAAATATATATGCGTACATTTAAAATATTAAATTAAATGAAATATATATATAGTTTAACCGTTCTAGTGTTTTACTTCGATTATATAAAAACACTTGAAATTTCTATTATCCGAACCCGGCCCTCTAGGTTAGTTCGAATAATCACGGTCCCACTGTACTTGGTACAATTTTCAAACCACTTGTTTATGAATTGCTTGATCTAAAGTGTGACGTTATAAAATCTAAAATAAACTCAAATATAATAGACATAATTTTCAAGTTCAAGTGTTCCGTTTTCATTTATAGAAGAACAATTTTCATTTGAACAAATATTACAAATATTTATACAAGATTTTTTTTTTTGACGTTTATTTATATACAATAATATTAATATAATTATTTACTTTCTTTGCCATTAAGGAAATTTATATTATTCTCATGCACGCTATTTCATTCACAATAAAAAAAAATTACTCATGTAGAAATATTTGTTTGTCATTGATATTATTTTACAGATCAGTAAATCAAACTGACAATGGCAGACGATGAGGGAACAGAATGGCTACAAGAGCTTTTACGCGATGTACAGCTTAGTCAATTTTTCACTAGAATTCGCGATGATTTACAAGTAACGCGTTTACATCATTTTGATTATGTACAACCGGAGGATTTGGAGAAAATTGGTTTGGGAAAACCTGGCGTTCGACGATTATTGGATGCTGTGAAAAAGAAACGCGCTGCCCAATGGAAAAAGACATTAATAACAAAAATTAAGCCGGGAAGTAGTGGAAAAAATAATAAACGAAATTCACAACCTGCCGAGACATCTTCTGTATTAACGTGTCTTATTCAAGATAAAGATGTGACTCTATCGATTAAATTGGGAGACGGTAGTTTTGGTGTTGTTAGAAGAGGCGAATGGACATCACCATCAGGACGAACGTTACCCGTGGCTGTTAAAGTTTTAAAAGCAGATGCACTCACTCAACCAAATGTTATAGAGGATTTTGTCTCTGAAGTGCAATCAATGCACAATTTAGATCATCAAAATCTTATTAGGTAGGTGAAGAGAGATAAAAATATTTTTTATTTTTTTTTTTTCAAAACAACAAAAAACAAAAAAAATTTAAATGACGCCCGAAGGATGAAAAAATTGATATTTCAAGTCAAATTTGAAAATTTATAAAACAAAAATTATAAAAATTTTAATATAGGCAAATTAAAAATTTGTAAATTGAACATACATTATTCTTTCAAAAATAAAAAAATATTTTAAAAACATAATTTTTTAAACAAATTCAACAAATTTTATACAAAATTTTTTTTTTCAATTAATTCACACAATTTATTAATTTTTGTAAAATACAATTACTTAAAAAAAAAGATTTTTAAATCGATTTCGCGGTCAATATTGTAATATCAAAGTTTATTTAATTCTTGAAATAATAAAACAGAAAAAATTTAATTTTAAAAATAATTAAATATATAAATAAAAAATTTAACTTAAAAATAATCCTAAGTAATAAATTTGAGTTATATAAAGCTTAAAATTAACTTTTCAAGTTCAAGTATAGTATTCTGTTTTATAAAACGGTTAAAATTTTTTTATTTACGTTGAGCAAATATTTATAGAAGATTTTTTTTTTTTTCATCGCATGTTTATTTTCAGTGATATTGTAATTATTTACTTCTTTTTTTTACTCATCAGAAGTGCAATTAAGTTTATTCTATTAATTTAATGACAAATATAATTCAAATAATATTAGATAATTACTAATTCAAAAATATACTTATTAAATAAAATTGCTCAATAATAATTTTATATTTTTTATAAAATAACTCAGCAAGTTTTAATCGTATCTGCATATAAATATTTAGAAAAATATGCAGAATATTTATAACATATACAGTGCCGCTCAGTAGATTTTTGACCACCCTACAGAATTTTGGGCGTTGCAAAAAGTTTTATATTTTTGTTTCAAATAAAGATAAAATAATAAACAATGACTTTTTTTAAAGCTTATATCCTCTACTTTTAGAATATCTAAAAATTTAATAAAAAAAATTTTTTTTCATTGCTTAATTGCTATTATTAATTAACAAAATATTCCATTTTTTTTGTAAATTTTAAACTGATATATTTTTTTAACAAATAATCACATTTTATTTTCACATATATCATTGAAATGGTAATTTTATCACCTTTAAAACGATTTTTTGAAAATTGTTATACGATAATTTTTAACAAAGATATGGTCAATTGTTTAAAAAAGGGTTGTTCAGTTGTTCAGTTTAAAATTTACAAAAAAAAAATGGAAAATTTTGTTAATTAATAATAGCAATTAAGCAATGAAAAAAAAATTTTTTTTATTAAATTTTTAGATATTCTAAAAGTAGAGGATATAAGCTTTAAAAAAAGTCATTGTTTATTATTTTATCTTTATTTGAAACAAAAATATAAAACTTTTTGCAACGCCCAAAATTCTGTAGGGTGGGCAAAATCTACTGAGCGGCACTGTATAGTGTGTATAAAAGAGATACATTTTTTAGTTTCATCATTTATTTCATGTTCTATGAATATAGAATTAATATTTTTTTTTATGAATGAAAATTTAATTTTTTATAACAAAATATTTTTTTATATCAAATAATTTTTACCTACTATTGTGTACCAAATGTAACTATATAGTTTTTAGTAAGTTTAGTAAGTTACAATAAGTCATTTTTTTACTACTATATTTCTTTTAGAGACCTTGTACTACATTGAAAAAGAAATTTTTAGTGACACATAAAGTTACTTATTTTAAATGAAGTGTTAGATAAGATTCGTAGATAGCTTTGAAAAATATAATAACCTAATAATGTGTTTTCACTGGTTTTCTTTTAAATTAAATTAATTACTTGTCATTATTGCAATTAATATAAAATTAACTTTTTCAATAAATAGGAATTTTTTCTATATTTAATTTTCTTACCTTTATATTATTTTTCCTTATTTATTTTTTTAAATTATTTTAAATTTATTAAATTTTAGTATGCTTTATTTCATTGAAAAGTTGAATACATATTTGTTTTATATGTTCTAAAGAAAATTTCAAAAAGAAAAAAAGTTTTTAAAAAAAAATAAATGTATTTTTTATAATAAAAAAAAATGAGATTAATTTTATAAATGGTAAAATGATTACTTAAAATCGAATCGATATATATTAGTCAATTTATTTTAATTAAAAAAATAAAAAAATTTAAAGAATTACTTAAAATTATTAATAGAGAAAAATTTATATAAAAATAATAATTTTTTGAAAGCCTTAAAAACAATTTTATATTTATCTATAGATTCAGGTCAAATGTAAACTTTATATAGGTCATTCAATTAGTTGCTATTCAAGGTATACAATTTTTTAATAAACAAAGTTCAATTTATAGAATGAAAAGATTTTTTTTTTTTAAATATATTTTTGCATTTTTGAAAAAGAGGTCATGACGTTTTTGCAATGATTTGTTCACGAGAAACGGTAAAATACACAGAGACACACACAAACTTTTAAGTAATTGTTACTGAAGTTCACAACGTTTATAATCAATGAGTTTTAAAGAAATATTTTTTAAAATGAAAAATTCCCTGAAATTTCGTCTCAAAGATATTTGCAATATTTATTGATCAATATTCCGTTTTAAAAAATAATTTGTTTTTTAATCGTTGTTTATAAACGTTATGGACTTCAGCATCGTCTTTATATCTGAATTAATAAACATTTTAAGTAATTTTAATTAATAACTGACCTTTTGCTCTGAATAAGTTAAAATTTACTAACCAATTAAAAGGAAAAAACATTTTTTTCCATTTATTAGTAAAGTTTAATGAATTTATATAGCAGAAAGTCAGTGATTAATTAAAAAATTTTATTAATTCAGATTTTCGAAAGTGTAAAAGTTCTTTTTAAAGTAAAAATTATACATAGGTGTTATAATTTTATAATATAAAAATTACTGTTTCTATAATAATAATAAAAAAAATGTTATTTCATGTTTGTATTATTAAATTTATCGTTTAAGTATTAAGAAAATTAATTGAAATCAATCATTTGAAAAATTTCATGTAAATAACAAGAATCATAATTTTTATCAGCTCTGATAAAGAATAAAATATTCGTTAAAAAGGAAAAATAGAATGCAACCACGCATTTTGGGGGAGGGGAAGATCAGTCCACTGAAATATTTTAAAAATTATTTCAATTTCTTAAATTGTTTTGGTTGGATTTTTTATTTTACAAATAGTAATTTTAAAAAAATTGCGTTTTTAAAGCATATTTGATTTTTTGAAATAAATCTTTTTCTTAGTGTATATAAATATAATAATTTTTGTGTTTTTCAGGTTATATGGAGTTGTTTTATCTCAACCAATGATGATGGTAACTGAATTGGCACCATTGGGTGCCTTATTGGACTATTTGCGTAAGCAATGTAGCCATATTTCAGTAAATACTCTATGTAATTATGCCCTGCAAGTCGCTACTGGAATGGCATATCTCGAAGCAAAACGTTTTCTTCATCGAGATTTGGCCTGCAGAAACGTTCTACTCAGTTCCGTTGATAAAGTGAAAATTGGTGATTTTGGATTGATGAGAGCGCTACCACAACAAGAAGACTGTTACGTTATGACAGAACATAAGAAAGTTCCATTTCCATGGTGTGCGCCTGAATCATTAAAAGCACGACAATTTAGTCACGCCTCTGATGTATGGATGTTTGGTGTAACTCTCTGGGAGATGTTGACATTTGGCGAAGAGCCTTGGGTCGGTTTAAATGGCTCAGAAATTTTACGAAAAATTGATCGCGAAGGTGAAAGACTTTATGAGCCCGAGGCAAGTCCACCGGCAATGTATCAATTGATGCTTCGATGTTGGGCACGTGATCCACTCGAGAGACCTAGTTTCACATCTTTAAGAGAATCCCTAACTGGTATGGTACCATCGATAATGAAGGCGCTAAATAGATTTGAAGAGACAGATAAAATGTCCATTGAGACTGGCGATCATATTGTAATAATTGATGGTAGACCGGAAAATTATTGGTGGAAGGGACAAAATCAAAGAACGTTTAATGTTGGTTTCTTTCCACGTTGTCTTGTTGATCCAATGAGACGTAAACAACCGGAAGATATTAGTAAACCATTGGAGAATTCTTTTATTCATACGGGACATGGTGCACCATTTGGAAAAAGTTGGGGTAGTCCAATTTTCATTGACGATGTTTATTTGAGAAATCCCATGGAACCACCCGACGTCGTTGGTACAACATCGATAGATCCATCGAAGAAAAAATTCACTCCCACCGGCACGCCACGTTCGCGTAAACAATTTAATTATACAAAATTTCAAAATGATCTGAGATCTAGTCCAATAAAAACGGTGGCAAAAGTTCCATTACCCAGCACTAGTCAGGAAGGAAGTCTAATAGATCTTTCGCCGGAGGAACTTGCAAATGCTGTTGCGCTCACTTCAACGCAATCGGACACAGCTTGTCGAAGGGTTGTTAATATTCTTGATGAACCAATTGATGTTGAGGGAGGACAACAACAACAACAACAACAACAACAACAAGATTATTGGCAAGATGATGATCCAACTTATGCCAATGTTAATGAAAATGGAGAACATCAATCGGATTCTCAGTCCGATCCTTTTGATACATCGAGAGTTTTTGACAATTCAACACAGTCTCGATACTACAGTGATGTGACGCCTGATATTGCTAGTCATTATCTTAAAGCTTCACAACAACAATATAGTAATGTTCGGACTGAAGATGCGTCTGGACCAAGTAGTGCTTCTTATCAATACAACGGAGATATTAACCATCTTAATTTAAACAAGGACATTAAAAGTGATAGTATGAATCTTAATGTCAATGTTGACAACGAGAGAAGCGATTATAATGGAGAACATTACAGTGAAATTGATAAGGTTCGTATTTAAATGTAATTGAAAATTTTAATCTTTGATAATCATTAATAAATTCAATTCAATATTTAATTTTTATAAATTGTTTCTATTAGGTCAGTCCATCTTCAACAAATTGGCCAGAAGATTTGGAGAGTAATGCTCAAACCTACGTGAATGTATCAAGTGTTCCAGCTGCATCAGGACCACCTCCATTGCCTCCTGCAATTGGTCCCAATGAAAGTCCCCCTAAACCAAAGTCAAATGTTGACCTTGCACAAAGTATGAAAGAATTAACAATTGATACCAAATCGCAAACATCGACTAAGAAATTAGATCCAGCATTTCTTGCTGAATTAGAAAAACATCTTGGTGAAAAGGAAGCATCAAAAAATACAAATGCAACACTACAACATCAACAGCAATCAGCCGTTTGTTTACCTTTCAACAGCGTTCACAAAACCGCAGACAATTCAACTATTCCAATATTAAGACCGCCACCACAACCGGCAAAATCAAAATCACCCCACGATCCACGTGCCGTTGTAAATATAACAAATAAAGTTCAAAATTCCTGGCAATCAAAAAGTACAAATATTCAAAGACCCAGAAGTCAATTGGGACAGGCGAATAGTCAAATGTTGGAAAGTACAACTGACGCAATTGTCAGTCAAATGTGGCAAACACAAACAAGCATACAACAAACACAAACAATGCAAATATCATTTCAAAGTAGTTCAAATCTTTTACAAATAGCACCCAGTAATTTGCAACAAGCTCCAAGTAATTTACAAAATGATCAAACTTCATTATTATCACAAAATCAAAATTATTTTCAACAACAAACATTTACATTGCCAGTACAAAATTCAACAATTAGTCAAAATGTCATTCAAGTACAAAACGATTTACAGCATTCCTCACCAAGAATTGTCAATTCTTTACCACGATCCGTATCACAATCTGGTGCTGTATTATCGGAACAAGTTTACGCTGAATTAAAGCAAACAGTACCAAATTTAGAACAATTATCACAAAGTGAATTCAATACTCTCTATAATAAAACAGTTCAACAAAATATTTTACGTAATTATCAATCAAACAATGGCACTTGTAATAATGCTTGCGTTTCAAGTACAAATTATAATTGCCAACAACAAATGTCAATGGCTATTGCAAACACATTGCAATCAAATACACGACAAGGTCACACATTACCAAGATCATTTAAACAAGAAAATCCCTATGATTTTAGTCCAAGTTTAAAGCAACCACCTGTTTATAATCCACCACCCGCATGGTCACCATTGAAACCAGTTCAAAATGGATCTAACGCAAATCAGATGACAAAATCAAATACAAATGTGTGCGCCAATCAATCGAATTTAATACAATTCACACCACCAACGAGAGTTGTACAATCACCTTCTACCTCTCATCATCATCATCATCAGCAGCAGCAGCATTCTACTTCTTCGACTGCTCGAAGTTTATTACCTCAATTAAATGAGACGACAATTAATACACAATTGGTTCCTTCAACGTCGGCTTATCCATCTGGTATTAGTCCACCTTTGAGTGGTGCTTCAAAACAATTGGTAATGTCATTGAATGATGAATTTAGAGCAAGCAAAGTTATGAAAGTTCAAAGAGAAGTTGCCGATGCATCGCAACAGGAAGTTCTTGCGGCACTTCAAGCAACTGGATGGGATACAGCTCAAGCCGCCAAACAAATTAGTAAAGATAGACAAGCGAAAGTCGATTCTCTTTTGCGGTAAGTTGAATTTTTTTTTTAAACTAGATTCATATCAACATTTTTGCTTTTTCATTACAGAAAAAATTATTTTTAAAAAATACTTCATTTCATCATAAATCAATTCAGTGTGGCCACCTAACTGGGAAGAATTTTAATCGTGAGAAAACCGTGATTGAAATTTTACACCGGGAGATTTTTTCAAATTTTTTCATCAAGTCGTTCACAAAATATAAATTTTTCAAAATTTAAGAATTTTAATGATTTTTTATTTTTGAATGCTCATAACTTTCTTATAAATGCATCAATTATAATTTTTTTTTTCAAAATGTGTGTTTTCAACAATTTCATCTTTTTTTTAAAACTGTATTCTTTTATTTATTTTTTTTTTAATTTTCAAAAAAAAACTACTTCCTTTTGCAAAAATTTTTAGCCTGGTCTGGTCGTAGGAAAACAATTTTTTCAATATTTTCGAAATTTTTAAAAATTTTCATAATATTTATCATTATATGTAATATTTTATTCGTTTTTAAATATGAAATGTATTTTTAAAAAAAGCAGTGTGTCTAACAGTCAGGGAAGTCAGGGAAAAATCAGGGAATTTCTTTAATTTTCTTAAATTTTTTATAAATAAATTAAAGTAACTATTAGTTTCAAAAATTTTTTTACTTTTTTCCCAAAGTAAATGCAAATAAAAAAGTTGGCCTTCACACTTAATTATTAACCCTTTCAGGGGCAGTGGGACGTATACGTCCCCGTACGTCCCACCTTTTTTTTGTTGTATTTTTGGTATTTCCGGCATATTTATCTAATAATAATCATATATTTCTTATTTTTAGATTCTAAGGATATAATATAACGAATCTATAATATTGTTTATGAATAATTTATTATTGTTAACTTAATATTATTCCATCAATCTGAAAAATATGCATTTTTTTAATAATTAATTCAGCTATTTGTAAACGCGAAGTGCTACGACTTTGAAAATCTTTACTCGGGGGTTTTTGGGGTCCCTGATTACGAATCTGAGGTCAGTTTTTCAAAATTCAAAATGGCGGATCCAATATGGCGGACGACTTTTTAAAAATATAATGCAATTTGTATGAAACTCGTTACTCGGGGGTTTTCGGGGTTGCTGATTACGAATCAGATGTCAGTTTTTTAAAATTCAAAATGGCGGATCCGCCATTTTGAATTTTGAAAAACGGGCATTAAATTCGTAATCAGCGACCCCGAAAACCCCCGAGTAACAAGTTTCAAGCGAATATATTGAATTTTAAAAAAAAAGTCCGCCACATTGGATTCGCCATTTTGAATTTTTAAAATTTGCAAAATCTGACCTCGGATTTGTATTCAGCGACCCAAAAAACATATAAATACGTAATGAAACAAAAATTTGTATGCTTAGAATAATGTGCCCCTGAAAGGGTTAAGCATGTGATATATCTTGTATTCATTAAGTAAATAATTATTTACTAATATTTATTGAATCTAATAGATGATTTTTTAAACTTGGATAACAATTAATTAATTTTTTTGTTTAGTGAAATATTTGGTATTTTAATATGTATTTAATAAAAATTATTTGATGCAATTTTATTTTAGCGGTTCAACTTCAAATAAAGTAAATTATTCATTAATACGAATAATTTATTATTTTAATGCTAATACCCACATTTAAATATTTTTAAATATTTTAATAAATCAAAATTTGCTAAAATAAAAATTCTGTTAAAAAAATTTTTCTTTATGCAATTTTTCTTGACATAAATTCCGTTAAATTAAAATTGTATTAATTTAAAATTTGATGTACTAGAAAATCTGCTTTATATAATTTTACTAAATAAAAATTTAATAATATTTAAGATTTGACGCCGTAAAAATTCTTTTAAATTAAATGTTGAGAATATTTAATTAATTAGTTTATTTATTTCACTTAAATATTTTATTTTTTACGAAACATTATTTATTTGGTTCAAATACATATATGAAATTAGTGGATAATAGACAGGTAAATGATTTAATTGTATCAAAAGAAATTTTATTTGATCAAAGTAAAAAATTTTGTAGTGTTAGTTAAAGTCAGAGAATTTTTTGCTAGCAGTTGTTAGGCACCCTGGAAGAGCAATTATCAAATAATGTGAATTTGCAAAATTTATAGAAAAAAAATTTATTTATATTAAAATTTAAAATATGGGGCATTCCACGGGAAATTTTTGTTCAAAATTTTTTTTGCCCGAAACATTTTTTTCGAAATCTATATGAAAAATAAGAAAATACGTATTTTTTAATTTTTTTATTTGATAAAAATGAAGGAAGTTTTGATTTTTTGAAATTGAACGTCATCAAAGGCAGTGTATTTTTGAAATAATTTTTTACCTATTGTATTAATGAATACAAAATTATCCTATATATGAAATTTATTCACTTTTTCTCAAATTTTTCAAATATGGGCTCAAAAATAACGTACCTACAACGGAACCAACAAAAAAGTTGAAATTAAAGTTAAAAAGTGAATTTTCTCAAAGAGAGACACTTATAGTTTTTAATTTTTTTGCACTGCAATCTCTGATGACTGAAAAATTTTTTCTCCTATCTGCAAAAGTGATAATTTTAGATTTTAAATTACTATTTTTAGTTTGCTTAGTACGGCTCACAAAATTTCAAGCAGTTATTCTACAAATATAATCTTTTTCCAATAACATTCATTTGTTTTTTTTTTCTTCAGTCATCAGAGATTAAAGTGAAAAAAAAAAAAATTAAAAATCAAAAGTGTCTCTCTTTGAGAAAACTCACAAATTTTATATTGAATAATTTTTTATATACAGCATAATTTTTTATTCATTAGTACAATATAAAAAATGTTTCAAAAATACACTGCCTTTGATGACGTTAAATTTCAAAGAAAAAAAAACATAACTTCCCAAATAAAAAAATAAGTATTTTCTTATTTTTCATATAGATTTGGAAAAAAAATGTTGAATAAAAATTTCCCGTGGAATGACCCATATATAAACCTATATGTAGTCTATAATTTTTTTAAATTTTCTTTATTATTAATTAATATCTCCAGGATTAAAATAGCAATTTGGATAAGTTAAAAAAAAAATCCTGCTATAAAATTTCAGATTGGCACTGGCAGATAGGCAACAATGCGAAGGTGCGCTGAAACAGACTGAATATGATGTAGAATTAGCAGCTTCTCTTCTATTGGATCGTGCAAGGTAAAGATTAATCTTTGAACAACAACAAGTAACTCAAAGTGCCGAAGTTGATAAAAATCTAACAATTCAAAGCCCTGGTTGTAAGTATATAATGTATTTAAATAACAAATTCAAATTCTTTTCAAGCGTTTATATTATTATTTTCATTTACATGAATGAAAATTGAGTTGAAAATTTTCAACAATTATTTTAAAAGCCTTGCATTATTAAATATTCTATAAAAAGCGACCAAAAAAGAAGGACAAAAGAAAAGCTTTTAGAAAATCAATAATTATTATCAGTTTTCAAGTTTATTTTGAAAATATTCTGAAAAATAAAAAATAATTTTTATCGCAATTTTGAAGTAAATTAAAAAAATAATGTAAGAAGAAAAACAAACGTGTTAAATAAATAAAACTAGTTAGGTGAAGATTAAAGTATTACTATGTACTTTATATTACTAAAGTATAGGAAAGTTCAGAATTATTAAAAATTTCAATTAAGTAATATTGAAAGTTACAGGCATGTAGAATAAAATTAGTCTCATTTTTTTATAATTGAAAAAAATGAAAATATATATTGTATTAAGTTGTGCTCTCGACGAGTATTTCTATTGAAAATGACTGAAGTGTATTTAGTGGAAAAAAAAAATTGTTGCACAGTTCTTGGATAAGAGGGTTTTTCGTTACATTTTTTTTTCTATACGATGAATCTCGATATGAAAACATTTTGTTACATTTGTTTTTATTCTTTTTAAGCTTTCGAGAGTGTTGAAGATTTTAGAATTGTTGCTTTGTTTCTCTTTGAAATTTCTTTTTGTTTCTTTCGTTTTACTTTTTTTTTTTTTAAATGACAATTTTGAAAAAAGGAAAGTATGCCCATTTTTTGCTTTCTGCAATTTTTTTTCCATTTTTCAAATAAAACTTTTAGAACTAACAAAAATTGTTACTATTTTTTATTTTGTTTCTTTTTTTCTAAAAAAAACATTATTTTACCTACTTTTATTTTGAATTTTTACTTGATAAATTCGAGTAATTTTTTTCGTTGAACTCTCTTAACGATTTTTTAATGTTTCTTTCAATGAAAAAAATAAATTAAATTTGCGTTTAATTTATATAGGTTATAAAATTTTCTAAATTTTTTTTTTTTTTTTTTTTTGAAATGAGAAAAATTTGACAAGGCATAAAAATGTGTGACATTCTTTTTAATAAAGTATAAAAAGGGTGCATTAAAAATCGAATCAATAGACATTTGTATAGATTAACAGGGTGTTCTTAGAAGTTAAAGCAAAAAAAAAAAATCCTATCTAAGAATAAATTAATCGTATGTGCGCCATTGTTAAAAAATTTTTTTTTTTTTTGTCGGCAAAGATTGGGAATCAAATACTGTGATATATGCTATATATACTAAAGGCACTAGGCGCTAATATAGCGAGAGATAAATATTAGTGTTTTGATCTTTCGTGAGGTACAGTGATAATTACGAAAAAAATAATGCGAAATTGTACAGTAGCGACGGTGTAAATGTATGTCTTGAGAGACAATATTTATGTTTCCGTGCGGCATGTAAATAGAACAAATCTAGCATAATATTTAAAAATTAAAAAATTAAATACTCTGTACATTAATTTGTGCGCTTTTATGAGGTGTGTAGAACAATCTGTCAAGATAATAAATTAAGTCATCCAGTGTGTTAGCGATTAAAATCTTGTTCATGTTTCCAATTTAGAGAGAGAGAGAGAGAGAGAGAGAGAAAATTTTTGTTCTCTAAAAAATTCGCTTCTTTAGTTTTAAGGTTTTCAATAATTAATTGGAGTAAAATAACCAATTATTAGCAAGTTTAAGAAACAACAACGAAAAAAATGACGCTAGAATTCAGTTTTTAATCAAAATGTTTAAAAAATTTAGTTTGTTTCAAAATTAAATTTAAATACTGAATTTTTTTAAAATTATTTCTTTATTTCGAATGGATAATAATTGGTTTTTTTGATCTCCTACCTTGATTTTCTTTGTTATTTTATTATTATTTTTTTTGTATTTTAACTTTTAAATTGTATTTCGTAAAATTAGGATCAAAGTGCATACATGAGACTGATTGCTCGTGTCTTCCGTTGTTTAAGGAAACAGTGCAACAAAATATTGATATTCAATTCCTAAAAAGTCAGATTTGTCAAAGCGCTTTCATGACTTTTAATAATAATGTGTAAGAAAATCGAGAGATTATTTCTCGTTTGTATTCTCAATTTATATTGTTTCAACATATTATTTACATTTAAACATTTGAAATGAGATTTAATTTTCGTTAAAGAAAATCAAGGGATTATTTCAAATTGAAATTCATAATTTTTTTTTACGCTTAGGAAAGAATGGTTAAGTTGATTTTTCTAAAAAATAAAAAAAAAATGAAGTATTCAGTCGAACAATTTATTAAAATTGATCTAGGAATAAGGGAAAAATTTGCCAAGTTGCTTGATTAGAATTTTCTTATTCCTAGACGTGATTTTTAATTATAAATTTAGTTCCTAATATTGTCGTTACTTTTTTTTCAATATTTCAATTGAAAAAGAAATCTTCAATTTTGTAGACGAAATTTAAAAAAAAAATTACATCTCAGTTGATTTAGTTTGCTAAAAATATGATTTTAAAAAAATGTTTCTTAAAATAGATTTCTATTTGAAAAGCGAAATTAGAATTGAAAATTTTACCTACGATCTTAAAAAATTAAAAACATTCTCTGCGGCTACTATTTTTGAAAAAATCACAATTCATAAATTCATAAAATTAGATTTTTCTTTACAAAATTTCAAGAAAATTTAAATTAAAATTGAATTTTTCACGAATTGTAGCCAAAGAACGTGCTTAAAGTAAATTTTCTTGAAACACAATATTGATAGTTGATCGATTTTCATCGAATTCTGACAATAAATAAATATGCACATACATTCCTGCTCCTTGCAAATGCAGGAGAAAAAGGAAAGGCTCCAGGCAATATAGAGTGTGCCCTTTACAATTTGACCTTTCCTACAATCGTACATCTGTGATCTTCTTTCATTATATACGACCTTCATTGATAGAAAATTATGAGTATAGACTTCTTAATATCAGAGAAAAAAGTCAGATTCGCAATTTTAAATAAATAACAAAAATAGAAAAACTTTTTTTTTTAAACTATAATGTCTGCATTTAAAATTAATTTCAAAAATGGATTTATCAATTTCTGTTTTTTTTCTAAATTTAAAACAATAAATTTGATGTAAAAATTATTTAAATTCATTTAAAACAATTTTTTAAAGTATGACTACAAAATACATTTTTTAGATTTTTTTCATTATAAGCTAATATTATCAGAATTGGAGAAAATCAATCAATTAATCAGTATGGGATAATAATATATCCCATATATAATATAATTATATATGGGATAATTATTATTAATAAATGTTAATTAATTTTGGAAAATTTATACGAGCCTTAACCAAACAAAATTTCATAATAGTCTTGTCGAATCACGTCAAATGTTGCGTTATATGTGTACATTTACTTGCGTATGAATGTTGTAATAAAAGAAATAAATATAAGCAATATACTCGTTATTTGTTAAGGGTGTTTTTTTTCAATTGATTTATGTTTTTAAAAAAAGTGAAAAAAGTTTTAGCTATTTTTACAAAAAAAAATATTTCAATTAAATTAATAATTAAATATAAAGTTTATTATTGAGTAACAAATTCATTATATGAATAATTTAAATTAAATATTTATTAGAATTATTTGAAATTAGACAAGAAAAATAAGGAAAATTATAGGAATTTAATAATTTCTGTAATGTTATTCATTCATTATTCTCAAAAATAGTTTTAAATATATTTTAATAGTAGAAAATAGTATTTCTGAGTTCTACTTTTAAAAAAAGAATTACGAATATTTTTCGACTTTTATTTCGCAGTGAAAAATATTTTCTTTCAATTTTCTTGAAAATTTTCAGAAAATGTTCCTTTATGTAGTACTATTAGATTATTTATTTTTATTTTGAATTTGGACTGACCGCGTAGAAGTTAAAAAATCGAAATTTATTAATAAATAAATAAATTGATAATGAAGAATAATTGATAAGAAGTTATAGAAGAACTAAAGAATATAAAAAAAAAGTTAAGAAAAGAAAAAAAGATAAGTAAAAGATGTTTATCAAGATGCAATTAAAACTAAATTATTGAATTATTTAACTTGGTCGTCTATTCCTACCATATTCCCGCTTTATGTACTTGGTGGGGAGAAGGTGCGAAACTTCTTTTCTCGGCGAGAAACGCAGAAGGCTTTGAGAACTCGAAAGGTGCACAGGGCAAGGCCCTCATCACAATGAGGGAATCGCGTTATCCAAATTTGACGCTGCGTTAATTATAATCATATTTTTTTACACACCATTGAAATTTAAATTTATTAAGAAAAAAAAATAGTCACTGTCAATTTTTTTATAAACTGACATTATTATGTCTTTTTATGAATTTTATTTATTTTTTATGACTATCAATAAAACTAATTTTGTATAATTTTTTTTTTTTAAATTCAATTTGCTTTTTTTATTTTTATTTTCTTTTTATATTTTCATTAAAATGTGAAGTGTTTGAAAAGTTTAAAAAGTTTTGGATAATTTAATAAGTGATAATAATTATTTTTTAGTGGAAAATTATAAAAAAGAATATTTTTTTTTTGTGAAAAAAAAAAATTGTGAAAAATGCCAACAGCATCTACTTCGATTTATTGGAATTCAATAGACTCACAACGGTCTTCGGGCGACAGTTCCGGTGATACAAATTCCGGAAGTGGACGACACTATGTTGATCCTTGGGACTTGGAGAATTATGCTTATCTGAGACGACACAGTGTACCAACGCCTGTTTATCAATCACAACCACGTTCCGGTTATAGTCGCTTGTCACATAACTCACGTGTTGAGTCTGATTATTGGTAAATAAAAATTAATTTCATTTTATTTCACATTAAAAAACATTTTTATATTTTATTAAAATTTTTTTTTATTAGCTGAAAAGTACACTAGAAATTATTAACAATAAACTTGAAAATTTTTTTAGAAATTAACTTTTTAATTTTACAATCCGTCGATTGGGGTAAATTTGAAAAATATGACACTTTTTTCTTTTATGTAAAATTTTTTTAATAAATGGTTTTAATTCAGTGTTTGCTTTTAATAATAGTTCAATACTAGATTATATATTCATATGTATTCATATATTTTAAATTTTTTATTCAACTGAATTCTAATTTTAACAGAATTTTTATAATTAAAATAAAAATTTATTTCAAACCTACCCCAACCATGGGGATAATATGAAACAAATAATTGAATAGATTAGACGAAAAAAAATTTGTACTGAAAGAAATTTTCAGAAGAATATTTATTACGTCTTTGAATAGTTTAAAAAAAAAATTTTTATTTTGTTTTTTTTTTACGAAAAAGGAAATATAAAAATCGCTGTTTTTGGTATCTAAACTTACCGCGGTCGACGGGATTTATTTTTTCTATTGTAAACTAATTTTTTTGAATAATATTATTTAAAGGTACACTTCCCGTAAAAGGGAACCTGGTTATGATGCTCCAGCTTCTGTGGAAGAATTATATTTTGGAACATCAAGCAGACCCAGTACTTGTTATCAACCAATATTATATGAAGATGAAGTTTCATATGTCGCACCAATTTCTCTTTATTCTCCTCTCTCTGGTGAGTCAATTAATTTTGAAATTTTTATTTATTCACAAAAAAGAAAATTTATTTCTCCAAATTTTGAATTTCTAATTTTTAACTATTCTTGAAAAAAAATATTTTTTGAATTTCTTGCAATACTATAGATAATAAAATGTTTCAGTTTAAATTTTGAACTTTGATTATAATCCCATAAAAGTTGAAATTTCAATTTTTAACATTGAAATGGATTTTGAAATTTTATGGAAAAATATGCAGTGTAACGAATGAAGATGATAAAATTATGTGTATAATTTATAATAAAAAAAAAAAAAAAGAAAAGAAATGAACTCGATTTATTAAATACAAAATTTTTCGAGTCTTTAGATTGGACTGAAATTCTGGTCAATCGAGTTCATTCTCTTTCTAAATTACTCAGAATTTTATCATCATCTTTCTTTTTTTTTCATTTTTTTCCCCCCTAAAATGCATAGAAAAGAAAAAATTCATGAAAACGTGATTTCTGTTTGCCAATAAATTAGATATTTTATTTGTATGCTTAAATAAAGATTTTAAGCAAATAAAATTCCACTTTCAAACCATTACCAAAAACTCAACTTTTTTCGATCGTATTGTCATTGAACTATAGTAGAAAATAAAAAGTTACACAGAATGTAAATGATTCAAATTAAATTTCTCTAAATATAAATTCTTTTTTAGAAATTTTTTTTTACTCTTTTATTTTATATTTTTGTACTACATACTAATTTTTGTCATTTGATTTCTTACAATAAGAAAAAAAAATAAATAGTTTACTTAGCTCTGAGAAAAAAATATTTTTATTTAATTCAAATACATTATATTTGAATCGAATAAAAATATTTCCTTCAAAGCAATATTTATTCAATATTAATAAATTTATATTAAATTTATATTTAAATTTATAACACACTTGCACTGAAAAACTTAAAGTTTAAATTGTTTTTTTAATTAGAAGATTCAAAAATATGGAATTGTATTAACTTAATATTTTAATTAGTCTAGTTTAATTAATTAATTAGTACAATTTGTTATATTTTTCATTTTGATATGAAAAGTTTTAATTTTTCTTTGACTTTCTTTGAGAATTTAGTAAAAGACATTTTAATAAATTTTCATTATTATAGTATTTCTATTTTTTAAATTTTGTATTTTGAATTAAATTAAATTAATAATAATAATAATAATAATAATAAATCATAATTAGTAGTTAATAATAATTAAATTAATTTTTCAATTAAATTGAAACTAAAATGAATATATTGATGTAAATAGATTCCAATACATTGAAAGATAGATAAAATAAAAAAGCCAAATTTCACCGAAAATAACTTTACGTTTTATGTACTTCAATTCATTTCTCTAAATAAATAAGAAATATTTTTCAATGTTTTTCATAAATTTTCGAAAAATACGTGACACTAAAGTGCGTGAACACTGAATAAATGTAAATATATTTTAGTTGAATAATTTCTCAAAATGAACGTCTACAAAAAGCTTTAAGATCAATTGTTAAGAGTTTTAGAGCCTTGAAAGGACTTAAAATTCACGATGGCGCAATTTACAATACAAAAGAAGATTCATACATATACATATGTATACTTCTACATATATATATATATATACGTGGGTTGCATCGCGCCACATGGAATAAAATAATAATAAATTCGTGGGAATAATGTTTCGCAGCTCTATACAACAGAGGTGATTGTTATCGTTGGTTACTTTTGTCTTTTCTGATTGTGAGTTTCTGAGTATACAACACGACATAAAGTTTGATACTATATATAGTGGGAGTGCATCAACACTGTCATAAAGTTGTCAAACTCTACTATGTATATACATATATACAATATTTGTGCATCGCATTCCGGTTACAGTGTCGGAAATTGCATACTGCTATAATAGTGTTTGTAACTTTTAATTACAAACTACTATATAAACATCGTGGCGATCGATAACTTGTCTATAGTCACACAGGAAGCAATTGATTGCTCAAATTTTCTTCTTTTTACTCCATTTATCATAAACAGGAAATTTCGTTTTTCCGATAACGCAATTGTATCCAAATTTTTAAATCATTATCGTATCCCAATGATAATTAAATATTAAAAGAATTTTTTAAACATTATATAATCATAATCACAAATAATTAAAAAAATAAATTATTATTTTAATATTAAAATTAATTAATGTAAAAAATAATAAATTGATATTGTCCCACCCTATCCCCATAATATTTCATATTTATCGTACAAGGGTAAAATTTACAGTGACCGACACCTGCTATTAAAAACGATAATAACTATAAAAATAATAATATTGAATTTAATATCACTATAGTAAATTAATTAATATATACAATATTTAGAAACTGATACAGTTGATACAAAATTTTATATGTTTATATTTTCCCCAATATTTTACTTTCTAGAAAACTAACCTCAAAAAATTTGCTTTATTGATTACAAATTTTATAAAATATGAAGAAATTGTTAAATAATTATATTTTAAAAGCAACTTTTTTTGTACATTAAATGTGAATAATAAAATTTATGATAATATTAATAAATATCATGTTACTCAAATAGAAGTTTAAATATTTTTTATATTTTATTAAAGGGTATTCGTTCACTGTTTTCATACCATACATTTTTAAATTAATATTATAAATTCTTTTCAAAGCGTTTTTTTAATTTTTAAACTTATTTACCATAAATTTTAACCCAAATCTTTAATTTGAAATTTATTTTATAACTAAATCTGTAATAAATTCTGATAAAATGTCATTTAAAGTTAAAAGTATGCCCAGGATACATGACACTTTTATTTAAAATATGGCTCTGTACCGGAAACAATAATTATCTCAAGTATTTAAATCTAAAAAATTATGTAAATTCATTGAGAATTGTGGCGTCAAAACGGAATTTTGTAAGTAAATATTGTGCACTTGTAGCAAATGACAGCCATGTTGTCTACTTGTCTGTGATTTTGGGTTTAATGTACGTATCTGACATCTGTTAGCGAGCAGGCGTAGTACTTTTCACCTCGTAAAAACACAATTATTCCTTCTAATATTCTATAATCACATTCGAATTTAAAAATTAGATAATAAAAGATTAATATATAATAAAATATGAGATCATTTTTCATACTCTAAATGAAATTAATATGAATTTCTTTAGAAAAAATAGAAATTCGCTTTGCGCATTGTTTTAAATTTTAATTAATTTGATCAAAGTATGAAATTTTACGTCGGTGAAGTTCACAACGTTTATGATAAACGATTTAGATGAAAAATTATTTTTCTATACAAATTATTACAATTTTTTGTTTAAAAAAATTGTTACAACGTTTCTTGATCAATAAATTTTTAAAAGAAAAATTTGTAAGCAAAAAATTTTAATTAATTTTTTTAAATTTCATTTTGTGGAGATTTAGATTGTTAATTAGTAATTAAAAATAATAAATATTTATAATGATTTTAGTGTATTTTGAATTTTTAATGCTTAATCTAAATAAACAAAAAGAAAAAAAATTTGATATGTGGACATAATTATTATTGTACATTTAATGAAATTTAATTTTCAAGTCATTTCAAGATTGAAAGTAGAAACGTTTTGCTTTCATATATGATCGTATAAAACATTACCTGACTCAGAACGTAAATAAAATCTGGCAAAAAAAATTGTCATGAGCGAAAGAGCTCAATAAAGTCAAAGAAGTTGAAACTGTCAATGCAGTTCTTCAATTGCTCGCGATTTCTAATGTTAGAAAGTATATATCATTTACCATCTGTTACTTATTGTCCACATTTATAAGATTTTATATGTGTGTATAGAAATTTTTCGGAGACTAAGTTTCAACAAATTTTCTCTTATTAAACATGCAAAATTTTCTAATAATAATTTACATAAAAAATCTTACATTTATAATATTTAAGTAAAGAAAAATGAAACACTGAAAATAGGAAGTAAAAATAATAAATAATATTATATTTATAATATTTATTTATATAAATAAAAATAAAAAAAAATTTATTATAATAAATAAATCAAAACCATAAAAATTCATTTGGAAAAAAATTCAATATATTAATATTCAAAGCAAACTTAAACGATCATTCAATATTTGCGTCACGAAATATTGAGTTTGTAAACTTTCTTGTTGCAGGTTCACTGCCTTTGTCAAGTGTAACTTTTACACTAATTTGCATATTATGGATAACCTTTAGTGCTAGTTATTAGTTTCATTTAATTTTATTACTTGAATTTTTGCCCTTAAACAATACGATAAATTGTATAACTTTGTTGTTATTTTGTTGAAAAAAGAAAAAAAATTAGTGAAAAAATTGTAAGAGAAAAAAAAGATTTGTTAACACCTTGTGTTGTAATAAGAAGCAAAAGAAAATGTAACATTGAGAAAATGTAAATATTTTTGTATACATGAAAGGAGGCTAATGTGTTTTTAATGAAGTATTTAATTTTTTTGTATAAACAAGTAAAATAAAAGATTTACATTGTCTATAGTCAAATTAGCGTAAAATTATGTATAATAATAATTGTATCAAATCGTATGGTGCGCGCAATAAGAGCAAAAAAATTATACGTATGAAAAATTGAAATAAATAATTATTTAGTAATTTTTTTTATTATTTAAACTAAAATTTTTACAAATGTAAAATAAATTTTACTATATTTTTTTTATTAAATTTTTACATAATAAATTATTAAATCTTTTTTCCCATTATAAAGTTATTTCAAAATTTTAATTTAAAAAGAGAAGATTTCTAGAAGATATTAATTATATATATACACGTATATGCCCAAATAGTTTTCAAGAGAATTTTTGAAGAAAGTGAAAGTAAAAAGTCATTTAAAGGTGCGGTTTCTCTTTGAGACTTTAGAAGATACAAATCACGTCTGTAATCATCTTCAACGACCCTTTTGTGCATAGAAGGAAATTGTCTCTTCCTGCAAATCTTAAAAGGAAGCAGAAGT